TAGAGGAGGGTTGAGCACTCGCGTACATTTTAACCCTGCTACATTCTTTATGTGCCTCACAATCTTTATGTGCCTGTCCCAAGTCAGAAGCCTGTAGTACAGTTGGTTCAGGTCAGTCATATTTGTTTTTCATAAATTGTTTTGCTATAAATTAGGCCGTTAGTTTTCTCATTTGAATTGTTTCACATTTTTATAGCCGACTATACGGTATGAGTTTTCCTGTCTTTGGATGGTGGTCTTGAATTTGGTTTCCTTCCTCAAGTTGGGGACTTGAGAACAAAATACATGTTTTAGTAACTATAATCCCCAAATAGTTAAACTGCTTTACTATCTCAATGTTAAAGTGTCATTATAAGAATATCGGAGATTTTTTTTGCAAACGTCCAAAATCTTAATGCTTTGGTTTTATCAACGTTTACTTTCAATTTCCAAGCCTTGCAATAATCGTGAAAGATGCACCGTGCCATCTGCGTATAATATAATAAAAAACTTAAGATATATTTCTAATTCTTTTTCCAGATCTAATGAAAATGATATTTTATAATTAATCATTTTATATAATAATGCTTTCAGAATAATAATGGGATATCAATATACATAATATAGATGTATAGTGCATGTAATATGTTTGTCGTAATGAAGTTATATGTCCTTCGGAGAAGTTATGCGAAAGTCAATTTTTAATAAGTAAGTAAGTAACTAATTATTAGCTCACCTGGCCCAAAGGGCCAAGTGAGCTTTTCTCATCACTTGGCGTCCGTCGTCCGTCGTCCGTCGTCCGTTAACTTTTACAAAAATCTTCTCCTCTGAAACTACTTGGCCAAATTTTACCAAACTTGGCCACAATCATCATTGGGGTATCTAGTTTAAAAAATGTGTCCGGTGACCCGGCCAACCAACCAAGATGGCCGCCATGGCTAAAAATAGAACATAGGGGTAAAATGTAGATTTTGGCTTATATCTCTGAAACCAAAGCATTTAGAGCAAATCTGACATGGGGTAATATTGTTTATCAGGTCAAGATCTATCTGCCCTGATATTTTTAGATGAATCGGACAACCTATTGTAGGGTTGCTGCCCCTGAATTGGTAATTTTAAGGAAATTTTGCCGTTTTTGGTTATTATCTTGAATATTATTATAGATAGAGATAAACTGTAAACAGCAATAATGTTCAGCAAAGTAAGATCTACAAATAAGTCAACATGACCAAAATTATCAATTGACCCCTTAAGGAGTTATTGCCTATTATAGTCAATTTTTGTACCATTTTTCGTAAATTTTTGTAATCTTTTACAAAAATCTTCTCCTCTGAAACTGCTAAGACAAATTTAATCAAACTTGTCCACAATTATCATTAGGGTATTTAGTTCAAAAAATGTGTCTGATGACCTCGCCCGCGAACCAAGATGGCCGACATGGCTAAAAAATAGTACATAGGGTAAAATGCAGTTTTTGGCTCATATCTCTGAAACCAAAGCATTTAGAGCAAATCTGACGAGGATAAAATTGTTCATTAGGTCAAGATCTATCTGCCCTGAAATTTTCAGACCAATCAGGCAACACGTTGTTGGGTTGCTGCCCCTGAATTGGTAATTTTAAGAAAATTTTGCAGCTTTTGGTTATTATCTTGAATATTATTATAGGTAGAGATAAACTGTAAACAGAAATAATGTACAGCAAAGTAAGATCTACAAATAAGTCAACATGACCAAAATTGTCAATTGACCCCTTAAGGAGTTATTGCCTATTATAGTCAATTTTTTACAATTTTCATAAATTTTGTAAATTTTTCTAAATTTTTACAAAATAGTTTCCACTGTAACTACTGGGCCAAGTTCATTATAGATAGAGATAATAGTAAGGAGCAAGAATGTTCAGTAAAGTAAGATCTACAAACACATCACCATCACCAAAACACAATTTTGTCATGAATCCATCTGTGTCCTTTGTTTAATATGAATATAGACCAAGGTGAGCGACACAGGCTCTTTATGGCCTCTAGTTTATTATGGTGACACGTGTATCATTACATACATTTATACAAGTATACATAGCAATTAGATATTCAGTACACCCGACCCATTGCACCTATATGTCACATCTGAGACTACTATGACATAGTAGTCTCAGGTTACATTAGTAATATTGTATCATATTCGAAAAACGTAAAAGTTTAAAAAAAATAGAAAAATAGGATTAGACGTAAAATTCTATGGATGAATGCTGAATTTACATATTTTGCAGTTGGGATTTGACAGTGTTTCAGTAAATGAATAAGTCTTTAATAAAGAAATAAAATTGTCTAATGCGGCCATAGGTAGATATTTGTGTCTAAGTTTATCAGCATAGACAGTATAATAGAAAAAGTTTTTCGTCTTCGACCTCATGTTTTTCACACAATACACATATTCTCTGAGCACATATTCGGTCCGGTAGCGCCTCGTTACGGAACCTTCTAGTTTCAAATTAACATGTATTAGAAGAATCCCACTTCTCAATTGAGCAAGAGCCGACCGTTCTTGTTTAGACAGATTTGACGTGATATACTGTTCAAGTTCATAACTTCCTTTGAAGGTCACAAACTGCGTTCTTAGTTTCGGTGATAAAGCGGCGTTGTCTTTCCATTCACTCTCAGTATAACGTAAAAGTTTTTCTTTAGTTTCTTGTATGTTCATTGTTTGTTGGGTTTCATAGATGTTACTTATTCCAAGTTTATAAAAGATGTCCATAACTTGTGTGCACCATAATCCATAAGGCTTATACTCCCAATCAAACACTTTTTTGACGTGAGCCTCTCGTCGTCCATAAGAATGAAACGGTTCCATAGGCGTACCATATTCACCCAATGTCTCTGCGTTGGTGGTAACCAGTCAAATTCGCTGTTCAAGGTTATAGTGGGTGCAAACCGATGTCACTGAAACCACAGAAATAACGCACGGCTCGATTTTGTACCATATCAATGCCATGAAAAGAATTGTAGCAACAAACACCAGAACAAGAATCTAAAACAGGGGTGATACAGGAGTTAAACACAGTTTCAAAGGTTTTAAATCCAATTCCTTTGTATAAATGTACTTTAGAAATAGCAGCGGCAAGTCACGACCCTATTCCCAACGGCTTTGGCAAATCTGCAGAGACACATGTGTATATATGTCTCTGGGCAAATGCATCCGCTGCAACAGTATACTTAATTTATCGCTAAAAATAACGTTATATCCTAAATCACTAGTCCCACCAGCTTTGGCAAATGCATCCGCTGCAACAGTACACTTAATCTTCTATCGCTAAAAATAACGTTATATGCTAAATCGCTAGTCCCACCAGCTTTGGCAAATGCATCCGCTGCAACAGTATACTTAATTTATCGCTAAAAATAACGTTATATGTTAAATCGCTAGTCCCACCAGCTTTGGCAAATGCATCCGCTGCAACAGTATACTTAAATTTTTCGCTTAAAACAACGTTATATGTTAAATCGCTTGAAAATATCTGAAAATTATTTGTCACAAGTTAATACAATTCTCAGAAGTGATGATCAGTGATTTATTGTATTCTTCAACATTGTAATCATTTATGGTACAAAAAATGTTGTCTTTAACTAAATATAATTCTGTATATATTTTAACAATGTACTCTGTTAGAATATTTTGTGTCATGCATATATGTAGGGGGTCATATATATGGACCTTTTGAGTCTAAAAATTCAAACAAAGATTATCGTATGCCTAATATGCTAATGATTTTTTTTAAATCCGGAATATCGGTCAAGGTTACGGATACGTTCCGATTACTAGTTTAAAAATTTCGGTTTTGGTTTTGGTATCCACTAAACCTCAGGTAGATCAGCAGGTTGAATTGGCCATGTACTATATATTATACAAAAGATTGAAATTTCATTTAATGTACATCTAATCTATTGAAATATCAAACGGCTCTCTCGTTATTGTTGAAACTACCTTTTCACTTCCACACATATTCCATCACTATTTAAGGTTCATGTGGACCCTTCGTCTAAAATGGCTGCATTTTCACCTCAAAATTTACTCTGAGTACAGACAAACCTGTGCATCTGGAAAAGTTTTAAGGCATAGCATGCCCTAGATAAATAAAATTCAAATATATTTTATGTTTTAGAAAATTAAAAACTTAACCGGATTTTGCAGTGCACTTTTTTTCATTCCTCCAGAAGGTGCCAAAATAAACTAAGTTGGGAAAGAGGTTTGAGAACTTCCCCACAGGTAATAATTGAAGTGAACTGTTTTGATTGACATGGACAATAGATGGACAATAGATACCTGACAATAATTGGTGATTTAAACTGTGTATCTGAGTGGACCATATCAAGTGAAACTCAACTGTTTGTTAATTTTATCATCTTCTGCAGGGACGAAAAAAAGTGTACTGCTAAATCCAGTTAAGTTTTTAATTTTCTAAAACATACCATGCATTAGAAGTTTATTTATCTAGGGCATGCTATGCCTTAAAACTTTTCCAGATGCGCAGGTTTGTCTGTACTCAGAGTAAATTTTGAGGTGAAAATGCAGCCATTTTAGCCAAAGGGTCCACATGAACCTTAAACAGAGACATATACCGTATGTATATCATCATGTCTCTGATTTAAAGTTATTTTCTCATTTGTAGAAAATATCCGTATATGGTTAAAAAGGTTTGAAATAAAGATTGTAACACGGATTTATATAGTAAGCTACTAAATAAATCCTAAATTTTATAAACTCTGAAAATTGACATCTAGATATTGAAAACCTGGGATATGAATAGTCCCAATATATTGTCCCAGTGAAAACCAAGTCACAGAAAGAATGGTGGGTTCGGTATAGTTGATACTTCTTTCTTTCCCCTCCTCCCCTCCCCAGTTTTTAGTACGCATGTTATAAAACACAGTAATAACTATAACTTATAAGTTAGAAATTGCTTGATATGGCAGGTATTATTTTAATATTTTGATTTTTATTTGTACTTCCAAATTTTCTATCAAATGTACAAATGCCTTGTAATACTGTAACCTTGGTTTGATTCCTCCAGTGTACTTTATCCGGAGAAAGAAAATCCCCAGTGATTTTTATCCACCAACAAAAATTCACTAGGTTTTCTATCCGGGTCCAGTGTAAAACATCCACCAGTCATTATAAGGTTCTAAAAAGGGTTTTTTGAAGGGGAAATATATATAAAATGTGGCTTAATAGTTTTTAGTGTATTTGAAACTTGCATAGCTCAGATTTATATAAAAAGTGGAGAGTTTTCATCCAAGGAATGTTCACACTAGTGTTTTTGAACCAGGAATGATTACACTAGTGATTTTGTACCGGAATGATTGCACTAGTTATTTAATACCGGGATTAATTACACTAGTGCTTTAGATCCATACATTGATGAAGTGATTAGTACTCATTTTGAACACACGATAACACAATAATGCTTATTAACGAATAAGATTTAAATAATTTTTCTATGCAAATCTATAAAATCATATGCTTCTAAATTGTCACTAATTGTAATATTTATATTTATTGGATTGCTGAAGTTTTTCTGTGTATTTGCCCTTTTGTCGACTTGGATATAAAATCATATCTTCTTTGTCAATATCAAAGGATGCTTCTATAATTGAAACTTTAGGTAAGAACAAATCTGCTCTTTAAATTTGGTTTATATCAAGTTCAATGTCCTGATCATTGATAAAGTATTTTGAGTTATAAAAACATCCTCCTCGTCATCATCAATATTATTTACTACATTGACTCAGATTAGTTAAACTGGTTCCTTGAAAATTATTTTAATATATTTATTTATATAAACAATAAACCGATCTAATATAAACAAAACAACAATATCAAGATAGATGCTTTCACACTATTTACATCCAATATTCTCTTAGTGAAAACCTGTAATAAATACACGGCGGAATGAAAGTACGCTTACAATACAACAGGTAATTTGCCAATCTCTTGTATTATAATATGTCTTTGATTACAGAGTCTTACAGAATTTCTTTAGTTTCAGTATCGAGCAGTAAATATGTTATTCAGATCAAAATTCAAATCTAAGTTTGACTTTGACTATACCATTGAATCAAAGTCATTTGCATAGTTAACAGCAAAGTAGGATTCTATTTTAATAAGGTTGGCGAGTGTATAGATTACAGAGACTTGTCTCCTGTAGTAGAAGAAGAAATAAATAACCTAGACTCTGGTACTTATAATTCAGATAAACATTTTGATTTATTTGTTATAAATGTTAATATCTCTAAACAACATCCTCAATTATTATTTTCATCCAACAACATATTTAAACTTGCTTTGCTGTAGATACAATATTTTTTCAAAAGAATGAAAATAAGTGTGTAAATTATAAAATATCAGATTAAAGTTTAAAAATATTCCTCTTCTGTCTATACAGTATATATTGTTGATATTTTGTGTGACATAAATTCCTGATATAAAATTGTGATTTAAAGAAATTTTTTGAACAGGAGAAAGTGCAAATCTGGCTGATAGTAGGGTGAATGAGGAAAAAAAGGTACCAGTTTTGTGTACATATTTTTATAATTTGTGTAGATTTTTCAGTACATGTAAGTACAACTTTCTCAATTAGCATCCGCATTCTCATTGGAAGGCACCATTTTTTTGTTTCTATTTTTTCTGTTTTTGCAAATATGTTCTAAAGTTTTCCCAAGTTGTACTTTTAAATCTATAGAAATCTGCAGATACCAACTTTCCTTACAAGTTTACAAAAAGATGTTCCCTAAAATACATTACAAATTTTATACAAGTGTCATTTCCATAGTAAATATTGCAACATTTGAGTCTCTGACCCATTTCCTTAAAACTTTTTCAGCTTAGAATAAACAAAAGAAAAATATGAAGAAAGAAAGGAAGAGAAAAGGTGAGAATAATCTTTATCTTAGCCACATGATTAGCATTTTAGTAAATATAAAATTGAAGGTTACAACTTCCAGTTTTAGCCAATCTCATCAAACCATCCGAACTGGTATTCAGTAAATTTATATTTATAATTATATATACATGTATATTGTACACTACCAGTATTGTTCCCTACTACCAGGGTTTCCCCTTGGTCAATTTCTTTTTTCCCCACCTCTTTCGCCAAAACAATATTTTTTTCGCCAACTAACATAAACAGATTTTTTGTTTAGGACTGGTTTTCCTTCTTGCTAACAAACAAATCCAGTTTGCAGCATTGTTGTTTCTTTTATTATTATTCTGCATATCTATTTTATAACCTACATTGTAATAAATGAACACTTAATTAGAACAAAAATTTCTTGTAATTTTTTTAACGATACTGTAAAATTTGACTTTTGGGAACACAGGATTCATCTTCAGTTTATCATCAATCAGTTTATTAGATATGTCCTGCTTATTCAAAGGACAAGGAATAAAATTAGAGATTTTACTTACTTTTGACCCCTTTCTTCAAAACAACAGTTTTCTTTTCTGGACCATCGTTAAAAGTAATATGTGAGACGTATAACTTTACTTCTAAAACGATGTAAATTTGGATACGATCCGAGTAAACTTATCGACCCTTTAAATAAACTTATTCTCAAAGGTTACCAATTCAACACTATAATTAGATCTTTGAATATTGTTTTTATTGGTATTAATATTGATTTTGTTATCAGTAAACTAAAATCAAACTAAATATTATTTTTATATGCATATGCACATTCATGGTTCTACAATCTGTCCATAACTGTATCTTGGCATTGCACAAGGTCATATTTATCTCTGACTGTTAATGACGTCTTTACACTAAATCCATTGGATGTTGGATGTGTAATGATTGATATTTTAGTCTTAGATGCATGATTTTTTATTACTGTAAATTCAGAAATTATTGCAATGTTTTTATTATTGCGAAAAATGCGACAGGGTTATAATCGCAATAATTTAAACTCGCATTTTGAAATTTTTTATATGAATTAAACAGGATTTTTCTCAATATCGCAAAAATTAAAGTCGCATTTTAGTCTAAAATGACAAAATCGCAATAATAAATGCACGCAATAATTTCTGAATTTACAGTAGTTGTCAGTAACTGCAAGTACTCTCAGATCTGTACTTAAGTGTCTGTTTGTTTTGGGGGATGTATAAGTACCCTGCCATGTCTACTCTGTGTTTTTGTTAGATGTATTTCTGCTTTCTATTGATCTGATGAGTTAAGTCCTTTTCAACTGATTTTTATAGTTTGTTCTTATGTTGTTCTGTAACACCACTGTCCCAGGTTAGGGGGAGGGTTGGCTCACCCTTCAAACTAGTTTAACAAGGACACATTCTGTATGTGCCTGTCCCAAGTCAGGAGCCTGTAATTCAGTGGTTGTCGTTTGTTGTTGTATATCATATTCGTTTTTCGTTCATTATTTTGTACATAAATCAGGCCGTTTGTTTTCTCGTTTGAATTGTTTTACATTTGTCATTTCAGGGCCTTTAATAGCTGACTATGCGGTATGGGTTTTACTCATTGTTGAAGGCTGTACGATGACCTATAGTTGTTAATTTCTGTGTCATTTGGTCTCTTGTGGAGAGTTGTCTCATTGGCAATCATACCACATCTTCTTATTTTTGTCTCGCCTTGACGGAGTCAAAAAGCGAGACATAGGTATGCTGTTTCCAGCGTCGGCGAAAGCGGCGGCGGCGGCAGCGGCGTCAACAATGTATTAGTTTGTGATTAGGTCTAGTTCATGGTGAACCACTAGTGGTAGGTCAATGATATTTGGTATGCAGTTGTATTAGCATTGGCACATCTCATTACCATGGAGATTATTTGGCCCCGCCCCCTCAGTCATGGTCTATTTACTTTGAAACTTTTGCTTAGTTTACATGTATTAGTTTGTGATTAGATCAGTTCAAGGGGAACCATTAGTGGTAGGCCAATGTTAGTTGGTGTTCAGTTGTATAAGCATTAGCACATCACATTTCCATGGAGAATATTTGGCCCCGCCCCCTCAGTCAAGGTCTATTGACTTTGAAACTTTTCATAGTTTACATGTATTAGTTTGTGATTAGGTCAATTTATGGGGAACCACTAGTGGTAGGTCAAAGATATTTGGTATGCAGTTGTATAAGCATTGGCATATCTCATTTCCATGGAGATTATTTGGCTCCGCCCCCTTAGTCATGGTCTATAGACTTTGAAAATTTTGCTAAGTTTACATGTATTAGTTTGTGATTAGGTCAGTTCAAGGGGAACCATTAGTGGTAGGCCATTGTTGATTGGTGTTCAGTTGTATAAGCATTAGCACATCACATTTCCATGGAGAATATTTGGCCCCACCCCCTCAGTCATGGTCTATTTACTTTGAAACTTTTGCTTAGTTTACATGTATTAGTTTGTGATTAGATCAGTTTAAGATGAACTGCTAATGTTAAGTCAATGATATTTGGTATGCAAACTTATTGGCATTTGCAAGTATCGTTTCCAAGGAGATTATATAGCCCCACCCCTGATCATGGTTCATTGACTTTGAAACTTTTACATAGTTTACAAGTTAATGTTTGTGTTAAGGTTTGTTTAAAGGGAACGACTTATAATAAGTCAAAGATATTTGGTATGCAGTTGTATTAGCATTGGCACATCTCATTCCATGGAGATTGTTTAGCCATGTACCTTCAGTCATGGTTCATCGACTTTGAATATTTGCATAACTTACATGTTAAAGTATTGCTATTTTAATTTCAGCATTTATATTATCAAAATTACAAAAAGGCGAGACATATCTCTGTGATAACAGTTTATTATATAAAGTAGCCTCTTCAAAACATTTATTTTTATCAAAGTTGTTAAAACAATCCTTTAGGTGACATGTGACGCCATTTTACCTCACATTTTCAATAAACAATACAATTTAACACCTTTATTAATTAGTCCATTGTTGCAGATTGCTATCAAATGCAATCAGCTGATAATTGATTGTCTGTCAAAATTGAAATGCATGAAGAGTTCAAGGTGAAATCTGAGTATTGTCTGATCAGGGAAAAAGTAAAACAAACCTGAAACAAATAAACGAGATGAACGAAGTAGAACCTCTATATTTCTATCGCCAATCAAGATTTTTAATCGCCACAATTATTATTTTTTTGCAAAATGGGAAAATGGCGAACGCCAGCGGAAACCCTGCCTACTACCATGCATGCATTGCAATTTCTCTTCTCAATTTCACATGTCTTTGTTGAAACACTATATACATGTATGACAAGTGTAGAAAAGTGTTATCTACACTAAGGTGTAAAGGTTTGCATAACTTGGTGCCCAAAAACAACCAGTAACTTATTGTTTTCAGTGGCCTCTGTTGTATTTACATTTTTTAAATTTTCTCTTCCAAAGAAAAGGAGAGGTGGGGAATACATCAGTGAAACCACATTGCCTGTTGGGACCAAATATTGTTTTAATGGTCTTTGGGTGATCTTTTCAAAATGATGCAAAACAGCCCTCCAGTTATTAAAGATGAACACTACTGATTTATTAAGTTATTTTAAGTCTATCTTCTGAAATTTGCTTGGCTTGATGTCAGTAGTCCGTAATATGAAAATAGTCAATAACATCAAATTTTGAATAATTTTTTAATATTTTGCCATAAAATGCTGATATCTGGGCTCAATCTTGATTTACCTTTGGACTTATCAGTTCATGTAATGAAGAGTCCAGACAGATTTTCATGAATCCAGGACTCATGGACTTGTCTTAGTGAGGCACCTGGTATTGCCATTACTTGGCTTCTATGGTCCATCATTTACTTTTAAACTAATCATGTATGTTACCACTTAGTCAGGAGATTTTAGTTTACCGGTACAGCACATGGACTTGAATGTGTAGGTAAAAGTAGTAGCTTTGGTTAGCTTGCTTGCTAGCTGAACCATGAGATCATTATTACTTAAGGTACTAAGGTAGTACCTTTGGGCGGAGTTAATAGTTTAGCAGAGAACCAATCAAAAAAAGGGACAGTATATAAACATTGTGAAACCAGTTTATATACAAGTCAGTTTAGAAATTATATGTTTTCTATCTAAATTTTTAAATCTACTGTCAATTATAAGCTAATTCACAAGCATGTTGTAGGTGTGTTTGATTTGTCAATTTCATTTTGATTAAAGTTACATGCATTTTGATGCCGATAAACACATTCCCAGATTTTGATGTGCATTTTTTTCTTCACTGCAGAAGATGGTAAAATAAAAATCTGAATATTATCAATTGTCCCTCTATTTTTCATGTCAGTCAAAACAAAACAATCCCATTGATTCATGAGCATGGTGAACAGATCTCAAAGATTTTAACCAACTAAGTCTCTTTTTACACCTTCTGTAGCACTCCACCGAAATACAAATCAAAATCAAAGATAATGATATCCTTATATACAATGTATATAAGGGGACGACCATTTGATATTCTGGGGGGGGCCAGGAGGATTTGTTTTGGATCGGTTATTTATTTTTGTAAACTAAGAGGACAGATTATTTATTTTCTGCACTGTTGAAGCAAGATTTTTCATTTTCATTAAAACAAGGGACTGATTATTTATTTTCATAACTATATTAATAATATTTGAAAACATACAAATTTTAAATTCATTTTTTATTATAAATAATACATGTACAGTCAAGTCATTAATGTACCATTTAATCAGAATTAATCATCATCCTCTGCGGAAATGAATCTTCTGAATTCCAAACTGCATATACATGTTTTGCATACATACACGGTATTAGAGTTGGGCTGTGACTAGCCTCTTTTAAAGGTATTGCCAAATATATTTACGCCGAGCGGAGCGATGCAAAAAAATTTTGAAGGGTTTTGAAGCCGCTGAAGGCCCAAAGAAACTATAGAACAAATGATGCAAAATCAAGCTTTCTGGGTGTTCCCAGACCCTTTCTTATTCTGAAAGCGCAAGTTCTGTTTTAATAATTTTTTGACAATATTTTGGTCTCAAAGCAAAATGTATAGATTCAGCGTAAGACTTAAGTTTTTATGAACAACATCAAAAGATTAATATGAAGAATAAAGTAAAAATGTAATTCACATAGTTAAGTACATGTATGTGGTTTTTGTTGTTGTTTCGGCATGCAGAATTTAAATCTTTTATACCTGTAAATTATATGGGGTTTTATTCAAATTAAGTTAAGAGGGGGCTGATTATCAGTGATATAACTATGTCAAGTAATTATTAATAACACATTTCAATTACAACTTGATGTAGCTCTTAACTGGGATACAATTTAAAGTAGTTAAGTTGTAAAATTAGCTAAAAAGTCTTAAATAAAATAAAACTCATGATCAAGTTGAAAACAAAATTACTAAATCACAAAAGGAATGCAACACTAAGAGAATACAGAAGGGCAATCAATGAACAAAAGACAAATTTAAAGAAACATTGATCCCGAAAAAACAGGTGCTACGTCCAAGGGAGAACAGAACTTGCTTCTTGCAAACACTCGCTGTGAAAACAATTTGATATGAAGACAAGCTTTTGGTTTTAAAATTTCTTTCATAAAGGCATTTGCCTCAATGTAGTTACAGCCCTGTAATAAAAGTGAGGTAAGTGTTCCTGAGCCAATATACTTCAAGTTAAATGAAACCCATTTTCAGACATTTCAAGTATATTTAAATAATATTTATACCTTTATTATTAAAAGATTTGGGAAGTGTTTCCTGAATTTTTTTTTGAAAAAAGATGAATTTTATGAAGAATCTGGTGCCACCTCATACTTTCGAATAGCATTTATAAAATGGCTTAAAGACTGCCGAGTTATTCATTTTCAAAAACATTGTAAGTCAGGTTATTTATTTTCAAACTACCACAGAACAAACCATTTATTTTTGTGATTATCAAGGCTGAGTTATTTATTTTCAAAATCCTCCTGGCCCCCCCTCCCCCCCCCCTCCCCGAATATCAAATGGTCATCCCCTAAACCTGACAAAGATCAGTTTCACAAAAAATCTTACGACTAAAGTTGATCGTAATTTACTGAATTGTTCATGACTTAAGATCAACTTTAGTCGTAAGATTTTTTGTGAAACTGATCATAGAGACATAACGAACAGAGGTAATTGATTGAAATGAAACTGACAAATCAAACACACCTGCAACATGCTTGTGAATCAGCTTATAATTGACACTAGATCCCAGTTTTAATTGACTTGTAAATCTGGTTTCACAATGTTTATATACTGTCCCTACTTTTGATTGGTTCTCTGCTTAACTACTGACTCCGCCCAAAGGAAGGTAGGACCTTGGCTAATAATGATTTCATGGTTCAGCTAGCAAGCAAGCTAACCAAAGATACTACCTTTACACTCAAGTCCATGCGCTTTAAAGATAATTGTTGGATATGTGCAAAGCTTCAACTGTATGAGCTTTGAAATCTAACGAATATTTAGGGAGATTTTACTCACAGGAGGTCTCTTCATAAAAAGGTATACACAGACGTATCGCTGGTATGGGTAACTTTTTTAGAATGTAAAATATATCAATGGGGTGCAATTTCACGGAGGTAATATATCAATGGGTAGAAATTTATATGTCAATGGGTCATACATGTTCATCTTCTGTTAAGATGTCTGTAAAAACTGTGTTTTGATCTTTTCATCTCCTAATATGAATCATGGATCCCATGTGATTAACATCTCATTGAAATAAGATGTCATGATAGCTGGGAAATATATATAATGGATTGTGATTTTTTTTATGAAATATATGAATGGGTAGGGATTTTTGCATCAATCAATATATTTTTCAAACCCAAGCTGGATGTCTGTACCCAAATTTGTAGGTTGAGAATTATTTAGTTGGTACTTGCATGTTCTTAATTTGCTGGTCCAAAACTATCTGAAATATGACAAAAATATACCGGTAAGTATTTTTGTTGAAAGCATGTAGAAGTGTCTCATCTGTGAAATCACACCTGCATTTGTTAATGGAACAAAAACTGTTTTTTAATTTTGAATTACACAAATGTACCAGAACAGAAAGTTAAAAGGAGTGCTTTCAGATTATATAATTAAGGGAAGTGTGGACAAAAGATCTGTATTTTAATCAGACCTCATTTTCATGGTTCATTGGTTAACATTAAGTTTTCATGGTTAAGTCTTGCTGTTTCCCAGATACTATTAATTGGCATTATGCATTTGTCAACTATATTTGGGGTATGGAATGATTGAATGGTGTACATGTACGTCAGTTAGGGTGCATCTGACTTTATTCTCATTTTTATTGTTCATTAGTCAATGTTTAGTTTTCTCAGATATTATAAACAATAGATCAACTTTATTAGGTATATATGGGATGAATTTAAAGTACATAAATATCCGTCTGGCAAGGTTAATCTGACCATGACCTCATTTACATGGATCTTTTGTAATGTTAAGTTTATGTGATACTTGTAGTAATACCCTTATCTTATAAACTTTCAACGTAATTACAATCATGATCAGTAAAGCAGGAAGGTCATTTCAGTGTGTGCACTTTTGTTATATGACATATATAACTTTCTGAAATATTCATAACTAAAAATAAGCATAAAAAACATGCCAGGAGGTCACTATAAGCTTTTTGTCTTTGTATGGGGCATAAGACATGTGAGCTTGTTCACTAGAGGTTCTTTAATTCAGGTAGTTTCAGAGACTACATCTTCATACATGTATAATAGGGTAAAACAAATTCCTTTGAATACAAATGAAAGAAAGCATTCATATACTATGAATAAAAAAAGTAATTTATTACATCTAATATTCATGGCTATATATATATTAAAAATATTTTAAAAAATGCATACTTTGGACTATAACAAGAATATTCATTGTAATCTGCTGTTCATGTGGTACTTTTTATGCCCCACCTATGATAGTAGAGGGGCATTATGTTTTTCGGTCTGTGCATCTGTTCGTTCGTCCATCCATCCGTTCGTCCGTCCGTTAGTCCGTCTATCCCTCTTCAGGTTAAAGTTTTTGGTCCAGTTAGTTTTTGATGAAGTTGAAGTCCAATCAACTTGAAACTTAGTACACATGTTTCCTATGATATGATCTTTCTAATTTTAATGCCAAATTAGAGTTTTGACACCAATTTCAAGGTCCACTGAACATAGAAAATGATAGTGCTAGTGGGGCATCCGTGTACTATGGACACATTCTTGTTTTACTCCATATTTTTTGTAAGTTGGTTTTGACTGCAATGATTATAAGCATAATAAATGAACTTTAGTTTCCATGTAGATGTAATGCTTCTGTCATACATTGCCTAAGTGTTGCCATTTTTTTATGAATATCAAGCTCTGAAAAACCATATAGATTTTTTTTATAATTTAGTTCAAACAAAGACTATTAAAGATACAGACAAGACAAAGCTGGACAAGACAAAGCTGGACAAAGAAGAAAACAATTCATCAGTATCTTCCAGGTATTATCTGTGTCCAAGGTTTATAGGAAAGCTATGCCCATAGATTTTCATGTTTTTTAAACAAAATTAGTCAAATGAACAATGTTCTTCCATCATTGTAAGAAAGCATAACCTTCCTGTGTACTGATGCAGTTTTCCAAATTTATTTTCATGGATATTTGATTTCATGGTTTGGTATAAGTCTGCATTCAATTTTGTAGAAATTTTTACTTTGTTGAACATTCAAATTTGTGTATCACCTTTACCATGAAATCCACAAAAATTGGTATCCAATGAATAATAATAAATCCACAGTTATGCTTAATTTGTTACATACAAAATACTAGAAAGGAGTCTTGCCATGATGTTACAAATTTAGATTTAAATTTTACTCACTTGCTGGTCCCTAGAAAACAGCAAGCATGGATCCAGGATTTGATGTTAGAGGGGACGCTCCTGAGAATTAGGAATTAGAGGACCTAATTTTGATACAATTTTATCTTTAATACATTTTTCTCCTTCTGTTGTTTTTTTTTTTTTTTTGGGGGGGGGGGGGGGGGGGATGGGGGGTCCCTGGTCTAAGGCAGCACCTGAACAGATTTTGTACAGGATCAGATAAGTTGAAAATTTACTTCATCATTCTATGTTATTGAAAGGAAAGCACATTTATTAAAAAAATTAAAGGAATACCTTGCCTGGTAAAGAATCAATTCATGTCACCTAATGTCTTCCCAAAAAATGCCATTCAGCTGTTATAAATTGATTAATTATGTATGATTTCTATCTCTTGTAATTGTTACTTCTAATATCTTTCCAAGTATATACTCAAGTTAGAAATTGATAATTTGATTAACAATGTAACACCAACAACTGAAGAACATGAATGTCATCATCTACAGGTCTTGTAAGGTCTTCAACAATTAGTAAAGTTCCATTTTTTAACCAATTTAAGGGGCATTAGCTACGATGTCGACAATAAAATTAAAATACGATTCTTATTGATTCAAGTAATAATAAAAGCTTTAACGGATAACCTGATCCGTCAGATCTGCCGGATATTATCTGTCAACAGATCACAGTCAGACACTATAAAAAGAGACCAAAAACATAATTACACCATTCAGCCTCTGAAAAAGGTCCATTAAGGACCGAAACCAGTTAGACTATAATTATCATCAGCCGCTGTTAGTAAGATGCAACAGCATATATTTTCCTATATCTTATTCATATCGCCTTCTATTGCATCTTCCTAATAAGGCTTCTACTAGCAAGAATTCCCTTTTGGGTATCATTAGCAACATGAGCCTGGGCACCATCAGTAACGAAGCTACACCTAGTACGTCAGTGATTAATGTCCTAAAACTGCAAGAACAAAGACAATCTAATGAATGTCCAAAAAGAAGATAATCAGATGAAGCCTTGAAGGTCAAACCTACAACCAACCTGAAAACAAGAAAGGGAGAGCCATGGTCAGCAGAGATGCACTTCTGGTGTATAAAAAATTATGTAACATGTCCACCAAAATTAACAAGCATGAACACCAACAAGAATTTCTAAACAGGTGTCTTGATAAAAAGGTCATTCCATCTGGTCTACAGCTCAAAATTCAACCAGGCATCGGCAAAACTGATATTCTGTTTATGGACAAGTGGAAATTTACTCTAGGAAACTGTTCCTTTGGACTTATTTCTCTCATAGTTGATTACCTTGGCGGTCAAATTGCGGAGCTTGAAGTTTAAAAATCTAAACTTCAAAAAGAGGTCGACAAGATCAAATAGAGATCAAACAAGCTTTACAAGCTTTTCAACACAGGGTCGAAAAATCATAAGAAGAATGCTTGAATAACAAATTAAAAAACAGCACCAAATCTCCACAATCTGAGACTTATTTATCCACGAAAAGGCCTCAAAAGGCGTCAACATCAACAAGACAGGAGATGCCAACAGGACTCGAGACCAAGATTCGAGACGTCAAAAAGACACAAGATATCAAAGAGACAACAGGTGGCAACCACAACGGTGGGGCCCACCACGATACCAGAACAGGAACAATCAAGACAGAACCCTGTCACTACTCAAAGACATTCTACACTAAATGAGTTAATTAGCCTTAATAAAGAATTTGAGCATTATTTATCTAAACTTGTCATTAACCTCTCCGACTTGACCCTTTCTGCAGCCGCAAAATCTGCCTTACAAAAAGGCTTAAGCTTTGTTCCAACACAGCTTGACCACGATATGTTACAAATCTACTCAGATTTTAAAACATTCTATCCTATAGTGAGACTTAAACACCATTTCTTCGATGATTCTTTGGACACAGATTCACAAATCACTTCCCCAATAGACTTCCAAGAAAAATTACCTAGGATGTTTAAGCAAAAGAGCAACTGGATTCCTAGCAAAGGAAAAGATGCTTTTGTAGATGCTTTCATTGAGGCCACCACTCTCTGCTGACAAAAAAGCTGACAAAGGTTCAGCTATAGTAATCCTCAATGCTGCAGATTACAATCAGATGGCACTAGCTCAACTCATGGATAAACGTTTCTATGTTAGAACCAGTATAGACCTCACTTCATTTCATACACTTAAAATCAACCACACTTTTCTTTCTTTGCTCTCAAAAAATGAGATTAACCAAGACATCTACAATAGCCTTGTTGTCAAAGAACCGAGAACACTACAGTTCTACCTTCTGCCTAAAATACACAAAACTTTTGTAGATGGTACACCACCAGGTAGACCCATAACCAGTGGCAACAATGGACCTACTGAAAAAATCAGTAGCTTTGTAGATGAACATATCAAACCTTTTGTACCACTTATCAAGTCTTATGTTAGAGACACCTCTGACTTGATCAACAAGATCGAATGCATCAAAAATTTACCAGAAGGTACAATTTTGGCAACAATGGATGTTACCTCCTTATACACCAACATTCCAAACCAGGAAGGTTTAGTTTCAGTTGCTAGAAGCCTAAAATCCAATCAAGCGTCTTACCATTAATATCTAACAAAGGACTACTAGAACTTCTTAAGTTAGTCCTTCACTGCAACAACTTCACATTTAACAATAGTACTTACCTTCAAGTTGGCGGTAAAGCAATGGGCAAAAAAGTTGCCCCATCTTTTGCTAATATTTTTATGGGACATTTAGAGAAGAAACTACTCAGTGGATTCCCTCTTAAACCATTCTTTTACCTTAGTTCTTTGATGACATCTTCATCATCTGGACGCATGGTAAAAAATCTCTCAACAAATTCATACAACACATGAATTCTCAGCATAAAACAATCAAATTCACAGCTGAAGTATCAGAAGAACAAGTTGTATTCTTAGACACTATTGTGAAATTTCAAAAAACACTTGGTACAGTGGAGGTTGAACTCTACACTAAACCCACTGACAACCATTCGTACTTATACTACGATTCAGAACACCTGCTACCATGCAAAAAAGCTGGACCTTATGGACAGTTCCTATGGGTTAAGAGGAACTGCACAAACGAGGCAGACTTCCAAAAACACTCTGCAGAATTGACAAAATATTGCAAATTCCAAAGGTATGACGATAATCTACTTCGTGTTAGTCTTGAAAAAGCAGAAGCAAAAGACCGCAAAACATTACTCAAACCTATCATAAAAGACACTTAAAGTAAAAAATGACCAGAGTTCCACTGGTCTTGAGCTATACAAAAGCCAGTCCAAATCTAAAAGAGATTATTGAGACTACTTGGCAGCTGTTGCATATCAAAGACACCACTAAACAGATATTTAGTGTACAACCTCTCTTTGCCTATAGAAGAAATAAAAACCTTATAGACATTCTTGTGAGAGCGGCATTCCAATATCTGCCAATCAAACCAGGGACCTCAGGAATTAGTACACTAAATAAGGTGACCAAATGCAGCAATGATGAAAGTATAGCTACTGTCCTTGGATTAATTTCCAAAGGTCTTTCTTCAGTACATTCACAGAACGCAAATATAGAAAAAAACTATATTGGTGACTGCAACACATCCTATATCATCTACATGATTACATACAAATCCTGTAAAACAACAATATGTTGGAAAAAGCAAAAGTCCATTTATAGCTCGACTTGGCGAACATCTCCAATATGTCAAAAACAAGACATCAGAACCAACTGTTAAGCATTTCAACCAGACAGGGCACAACATTCACCATATGTCGTTTGAAATCATTGAAGTTCTCTGGAACGATCAAAATGACCCTAGGTCTGATGTCCTTAGAAGTAAAATAGGGGATTTTTGAATCCTCTAACTCGGAGCGCTATAACCCATTGGAATCAATAGTTTAGAGACCTCAAAATTTCAGTACACCTCTCACTCTATTCTCTCTAATAATACAAGCAGAATTTTATAAGCAGTTTGGCCCAAATTTGTCAAAATAAGCTCAAGAACATAGCTGATGTATTATTGACTTGCAAGTCAACAATTTAACCTCAATTGAATCCGTATTCATGTGACCTTCATTTTAACCCCTTAGCTGGAGATGGATTAGCCTGCTCAGCTATTAAAAGGAAAAGAATTTCGACATTGAAAGTGAAACAAGGTTGAACCATTTCTTTCACTGATTCCATCCACAAAAAAACATTCTTATACAGGTAGAAACCATGATTAACATATTATTTTAACCTATTTCATGAAATCAAACAGACCTAGAAAAATTCAATTGCACATGCTCAATATCTTTTTATATTTGTATTCATATTTATTACTGTAAATTCAGAAATTTGTTGCAGTGAAGGACTAACTTAAGAAGTTCTAGTAGTCCTTTGTTAGATATTAATGGTAAGACGCTTGGTTGGAGTTTAGGCTTCTAGCAACTGAAACTAAACCTTCCTGGTTTGGAATTTATTATTGTGATTTTGTCATTTTAGACTAAAATGCGATTTTAATTTTTGCGATATTCAGAAAAATCCTGTTTGGATTCATATAACAAATTTCAAAATGCGAGTTTTAATTATTGCGATTATAACCCTGTCGCATTTTTTGCAATAATAAAAACATCTCAATAATTTCTGAATTTACAGTATTTTGATTATATGACCGTCAGCAGTCTTCAGAGGTCATCTAAACGGTTAATGGTGTCTAGACTAAAATAGACACATGAAATACTGATACATATAATTGAGTCCATGCTTTGTAAAGTTTATTTTAGACTTTTTGTAATTTGGATATGTTTAAGTATGTCATAAATCAAATATGAGAATTTGGGTCAAATCGGTGAACATGAATTTGACAGCTAATGCCCCTTTAATAGCCACTAGAAATTAAAATATAAACCTTTTTAATTTAAACTACTAATGGTATTATTTGATTTACTTTGTAATTACAGTCAGCTTCCTAATGATGAAAATAAGAAGATAGTACCAGCCTTTGGGAAAAAACAGAAGCTGTCTTCAACTGTTGGAAGAGAGTATGTACTATTTAATTGATATTAACAATGGAAAATGCATTTTATACCCCAACTGTGTGGGCTACAATGTATATATATTGTATTTTACTAATCTGTTAGTTTGTCCACCAAATATTTCTGTCACACTTTTCTCAGGTACTTCTCTGAACAGAATGACTATATTTGGTCAGCACCTTTGCAGCGATGAGTTGTAACATGTGTGCACTTTTAGGAGCTGTCGAATACCTACTTTGCCAATACATTTGTGTACTTTGAAATTTCTGAATTTTTCAGTATGTTGAATGAACATAAAAATTTTCTTCACATTTTTCTCCAGTACTACTGAACTGAATAACTTCAAATTAAGTCAGCAGCTTGTCAGACACCTACTTCCTGTTATCTGATAGTTTGAATCACCAGTGGCAGGGTCGTCAAAAATTCACGTTTCATGAGTATTGCCCAGCCCAGAAGGAAATACTTGAAAAAACCGGGTTCTACTGGGCTTTACCAGATAATACTGTGCAATACTGGGTAATATGACATACTTGAATCTTTAAAGAGGAGTCAGTGATCTGTTACAAATGCAATACATAAAGATTTAATATTTTATTTTGAACTTCTCTTGTTTCAAATATAGTGTAATAATTTGAGAAAGTATTGTTCCTGCAACTCTAAGGCATACATGAAACACATGGACAAATGTGAACAGTTGTCTCAATAATATTTATAGGTAATCCATTTTTGTATTTGCCAATTATTTTGAAAACTACGTACAATGTAGATATGAATAAATAGACAGAAGCTGTAAAAAAGATTTAAAAATAATCATCAAGACAAAGCCACAAATAAGTTAACATGGCTGAAATTGTCAGTTATGTCCTTGTAGGAGTTATTGCCCCTAAATGATGATTTTTATAAAAAAAAATTTTGCCTATTATCTTGAAAACCGTAAAAGCAAAAGAGGAACTTTAAGCAGGAAAAATGATCAGCAGGACAAAACTGAATGAGATAACTTATCCATAATTATCAGTGACCTCTTAGAGGAGTTAGTGCCCTTATTTTTGTTTCGACTGCTACTTCTGTCGCTGAAAGCAAAACATAGGGATAGTGATCCGTCAGCTCCGGCGTTAACTTATTACTTAAAAGCTTAATTTTTCAGGTAGAAGACCTTGATGCTTCATACTTTGTAAAAAGATGCCTGATGATATGAAGTTTCTGTCTGTCATATGTCTATAGTCCTGACCTCATTTTCATGATTCAGTGACTACTTGAAAAAAAAAATTTTTTGTAATGATGATTTCTCTCTTATTATGAGTAATATGATAACTTTATTTGGTAGGTGTGCACCTTGCAAGGTCCTCATGACTGTCGGATAGTTCTCACTTGACCTTGACCTCATTTCATGGATCACTGAACAAGGTTAAGATTTCGTGGTCAAGTCCAATAAGCAATAGGTCTACTATATTTAGTGTATGTAATGATTGTAAGATGTACATGTCCAGCTGGAAGGTGTCATCTGACAGGTGTCATCTGACCTTTGACCTCACTTTCATGGTTCATTGGACAATGTTAAGTTTTTGTTGTTTTGTCTGTTTCTCAGATATTTCTTCTTTGTATCGATCTGATGAGTTAATTAAGCCCTGTTCAACTGATTTTTAGTTTGTTCCTAGGTTGTACTGTTACACCACTGTCCCAGGTTAGGGGGAGGGTTGGTTCGCCTTCAAACTAGTCTAACCCCCCTCATTCTGTATGTGCCTGTCTCAAGTCAGGAGAGCCTGTAATTCAGTGGTTGTCGTTTGTTGCTGTATTTCATTCATTATGTTGTACATAAATCAGGCCGTTAATTTTCTTATTTAAATTGTTTTACATTTGTCAATTCGGGGCCTTTTATAGCTGACTATGCGGTATGGGTTTTACTCATTGTTGAAGGCCGTACAGTGACCTATAATTGTTAATTTTCTGTGTCATTTGGTCTTTTGTGGAGAGTTGTCGCATTGGCAATCATCCCACATCTTCTTATTTTTATATTATAAGCAATAGCCAATAGGTCAATTGTATTTGGTGTATGGAACAATTGTAGGGTGTATATGTCTGTCGGGCAGGGTTCATATGATCTTGACCTCATTTTCATGGTTCATTGGTCAATGTTAAGATTTTGTGGTTTGATCTGTTTCTCAGGTACTATTAGTGAAACTATATTTGGTGTATGGAATGATTGTAATGTGTACATGTCTGTCTGGCATTGTAAATCAGACCATGACCTCATTTTCTTAGAATATTGATAATGTTAAGTTTATGTGATACTTGTAGTAAAACCTTCATATTACAGACGTTCAACATGAAATCAATGATAAGTAAAAACAGGCGAGACATTTCAGAGAGTGCACTCTTGTTAATATTTTTGGTAAAAACTGCAGTAGATAAAGGAAAACTGTATTCAGCAAAAATTATCAGCATGACCAGTACTACAAATTAATAAAGTTTCCGAAATTGTCAGTCTATTCCTTATAGGAGTTATTGCCCTTATGTGACAATCTTTAATTTTTTGCATTTTTGGCAAAAAAAATGGATTTGACAAAATGAATGTCATATTCATTATAGATGATTTTCAATTTTACCATTCAGGAGTTGTGCTCCTTCATTAGTTTGGAAAATGGCACTTTATAGTCGTTTCCTTGCAATAACTTATGAACTGTTCAACCTGGTTTGCTGTCAATTTGACAGGGGACAAAGAAATACTGGGCATGTGTCTGTGAATCAGTGATCAGTTTCACAAAAATTCTGATGATTAAAGATGATTAAGTATAATGAATTGTTCATGACTTACGATCAACTTTAGTCATAAGATTTTTTGTGAAACTGACCACAGGTCTTGTTAGCGCATTCACATGTAAAATTCTTGCAAGATTTTAATAAAATTTATACATAAAGTTAATTATAGCAATATCTGGGACAATTGATTAAATCATTGCAGATTATCAATTTTTAAAAGAGTTCTGCCCCTTGGAAATATTAATTGTATTGAATATTGCATTCATAAGCACTCTAACATGTACAATACTTGCCAGATTTTTATCAAATTTATATCAAAGGTTTATATCAGCACTATTATATGTCTTTGACAAGTTGGAAAATTAGTCCTGATCAACAAGAGTTATGTCCCTTGGAAATATTAATTATATGGAAAATTGCATTGTAAGTGCTTTCACATGTACTTTTCTTTAAGGATTATGATGAAATTTAAACGAATGTTTGTATCAGTAATGTCTGAAACAAGTTTGAAAATCAGCTCTTTTATTATATTGTAGACAAAATAGTCAGGTTGAAACAATACAAAGTCAACATTTTGAATCTGCTTCACCAATATGTTCTGTGACAGATACTGATCAGCAATTGCAGGAAGATGAGAATGAAAATGTTCTTTTTGAAGATAAAATACCTGTTGGCACATCAAATAAGATAACTGTTAATTTAGACCAGAAACCTGAAATGAATAGTAAAAATTGTAAACATTTACTAAGTTCTGACTGTGCAGATCAGTTAGTTCTACCGGTACCTTCCAATAGTAGCGATGCTATGATTGAAACTGACATTGAAATTTCCTATGCACCCAACATAGATAGTAGTCCAGTGTCAGATACACCAGTAGGTCATCCTGATGAATTGTCACTTAATCCAAATAAAATTACAGACGACTTTGATGACAGACCTTTTTTAAAATCTAGATCTCCATTGGAAAGGTCAACATATACGAATAAGTTGATAGTTTATCCCTCTGAAATTGTTTCTACAGATCATGCAAACATCTTGTCTAAAGATGAATGCTGCAAAATGGTTCCAACAGAAGTTGAGAATAAACCCGAGTATAGTGGAAATATTGTTTTATCTGAAGCTAAAGATGAAATTGGATATTTGTCAACTATAAGTATGAAAGAAATAAGTAGAGAGGAAAAAGACAATTGGTCAGAATGTGTTGTCTCCCAAAATAAATCTTGCTCACAGGTTTCAGAAAATGAAGTTGGACATTTTGAGGAGACACAAGTTCTCATACCTGAAGAAACCATAGAGGATGAACTGACACAGGTATTTGCACAGCTTGAAGATGAACATAAAGGTAACAGTGTTAGCATGACAGAAGCTAAAAAACAAGAAGCTCAACAAACTTCAAAGAATATTCAGAGCATGTTGGAAGTACAACATAATTCCTCAGTGGAGGACAGGAAATCATCAAACGATGAGAAGTTATCAGAAAACTGTTGCTCTGAGAAACCTATGGAAAACTATGCCATTACAGATGATACTGAAATCACTGTGTCTGATAAGGAAGTTGTCCTTCAAATTTCAAATTGTGACCTTCATAAAGTTTCTATTACCTCAAAAATCTTAGGTAATAATTATTTCATTTACAGTTCATCCTCAGTCCTTTTGAAAACATTTTTTTTACCAGTCACAATGTTTTAAAGTCTTATCCTTTTGTCTTTGTAGGATAGTTATCTCATTGATAATCATACCACATCCACTTATTTTAAAATCAGAAGTCTTCTGTTCTTGTTCTTGTTTTATACAATCCTTGTCTGGGCTAAAGTTAAACTTTTTTTATCTTTATACATTGACTTATGATATTTGGCTTGAAGTTGTATTACCATAAGATGATGTGTCACATATTATTATGATCAACCTTTGTGTGACCGTGAACTTTGACCTCAAGTTAAGAATAATTAATCTTTTTCATTTTAACGCTCTTGATATTTGATACACAGATGCAGTACATCAAGACCATTGTTTCATACCATGGAAGATTACTTATAACCTTCAAATTTGACCTGCAAGCTCAAGGTCAGATCCTTCATTTTTATATGTCAACAAAAAAACAAGAATTCTTGCTTGTCATGGCAAAACATTTTTCAATGCTATTAAGGGTTTGCCTTGTCCCCTCAAAAATGGTTCAGATTCCCACCCGAAAAACATATACTACCTAAAAAGCTTTAATAAGACCTTTCTAGTTCACCATATGTTTTATCCCTGTGAGACATGCCAAACCCCTTCCATATCACTAATTGTTAAATATCATGAAAACTGTTCATATCCCAACCCCAAAACCATTCTTAATTGTCATGACAATACCTTTATAATACACCTTTATTTTATGCCGTGCCCTGTTAAATCTTCAATCGTTAATTATATCAAAAACTCTTCAGATCCTCATCCTAAACCATATATATTCTAAAGTGCTATGTCAAGATATTTTAAGTGCTTCATAGATTTTGTCCAGTGGTGGGGATGGGGATGATATGCTCCTCTGTCTGATATTATGAATTGTTAAATAGATGTATGTATGTGGACAAAGGTATGCCCTTTTCAATATTTTCCGTATTATTCTATAAAATTTTCAAAAAATTTCTTGTATCTTATTTCCTGATCCATTTCATGAAATTTTCATCTTCAAACTCAGAAATATTTGTTGTTTTCTATATAAATTTTCATAGTTATGTTTACATCTTAGTATTTCATAATTCATAAGTTTAACATGAGCTTAATTCTTTGATGTCACAAGTTAAAACTATACGTTTGTGAAATGGCTGCTCTGACTCACCAACATACTGTTTACCATATTTACACTGTAGAAGATACACAGCATTTGTAACTTACAATTAACATTGCAAAATATGGTATATTCCGTACCACCGGAGTGATTGTTAAAAGTATGGGTATTCAGTATTTGCTTGCAGGTCAGACTTCATTTGTTCCCACAACCCTTGCAAGAGCCCATAGAAAGAGCCTGATTTAGAGGATAAATCAGCTCTCACCAGCAAATTTTTAAGAATTTTGGGCCTTGGGGAAGCCAGTATGAACAACCATCGTAGTGACTATGAAAGCAAGCCAGACCTTCTTCTCAGTCCACAATTTAGATCCTCTGGTCATACTTAGGCAGATCTCAATCGACAGACTATTACCATCATGAAAATTAAAAATGTTGGCACCAAATGGGATCAATGAAAAGGAGCAGTTCTATTTATTTTGGGTCGTATAACTAAGCAGTCTCTGTTGTAATTCCTTTACCTTCATCAACTCTCATATTCTAGATTTATACCAGTTCAATCTCACAGTGCTGTCCATTTGGGATGTATCAATGCGCAGCCTCAGTTGTAATTACATAACCTTCATCAACTTTGAAATTTTAGAATTATACCAGTTCAAAGTGTACACTGTTATTCATTAGGGATGTATATCTATGCAGTCTCTGTTGTAATAACTTAATATCTTAACTTTCGTCACCTGTGAAATCTTAGAACTGTACCAGCTTATATCACACATGCAGTCTCTGTTGTAAATACTCAACCTAGGTCAACATTGAAATTTTAAAATTATATTTAAGAATAATGGTTCAGTTTTTAATTTGTATAACGTTAAAGATTGTTTTAGTTAAATCAGAATAGATTGATATGATTTGTTTAACATCATTTAATATATATATATAAAATGCGAAAAACTTATATATGTAGGACAAACGGGTGATACAACTTACCAACGGATGCTATTGAACTTTTCAAAAATATGAACAAACAAAACAGACGATCCGGTAGCAAACCACTTCATTCAGCATAATTATTCGATGAAAAATTAAAAAGTTACCGCCATAGAAAGAGTATTTGGAACAGAAATTTACAGAAAAACTAAAGAAGCCTTTTGGATGAAAAAATTAAAAACTTTAGAGCCTGATGGACTCAACACAATGTATGAACGATAGTGAAAAAATTTATAAAAAAAAGAAAAAAACGCGGCAAATGAACGTCATAGTAGTTATTATAACGTAATGTATCCAATCGATGTAAATGTTGTTTCAGTGTTGTAATTTATTCCAATGAAGAAGGCCGTAATGGCCGCAACGTATGGAAAATTGTGTTATAGTTTTTATTATATATATATATATATATATATAGTAATATAAAAACTAAAGTTCAGAATGAAATCCTGAAAGGTAGGATACCAGAAGATATTGCACTATTGCATTATTTAAAAAAAAAAAAGGAGAATTTTTTTGTTTTTTTTATTGTTTATGTATGTTATAATATACATTTTTATCTATCAGATAAAAGTAGAGAATCAGAAGAAATAACAGATTCACAGTTATGTACTATAGATTGGGTTGAAGAGTTCACATTACCAGAAAAGATAGAAAGGTAACAAATCAGGGTAGAATAGTAAGTTATAAAATGGACAAATTTACATATTGTGTTTTCTGAAAATAAATTGGGTATCATATGTTGTTTTGTGTAATGTCTTTGACAAATCTGCAGTACAGAGCATTGAAATAAGTACTTGTCAGGTGTGATTTTTCGCTAAATATTTCATACAAAACCGCTTATTTTCAAAATAATATTGTGAGGTCTTTTCTGGTTGGATTTTAAACAACTCTATGTCAATAGAAAGAAATTTTCATTTTATGATGATTTAAACACGTTTTATTTATTGCCAGAGAATTTGCTATATATTTCAACCCAATTAAATCTTAAATATTTTTTAGTGTGTTTACATCAGGAGAAAAGAAAAACAACTGAAGACAAAACTATCACAAAATAAACAAATAATATTCAGACATTTCTGCATCTTTTCAACACCTGATTTGTAAAGGTCAAAACAAAAAATGTCTTCAAAATAATTCACTGGAATTTAAAGGTTTCTAAAGATAATATTAAGTACCAATTGAACAATGTATCATCTGAAATATTTAGTTTAATAGACCATAAAATACAAAGAGATGTTATTTTGGCAGATCTGATATATTTTGTTTTAGGGTTATGACCTACTAGTATATTATCTAGACTAAAAATTGGACTTTCAGGGTTCCAAATCATGGATTTTGGCTTTTTGGTACTATAAATTTTAAAATATACTAATCTCATGATTTGTCAGTTATTTTTTTTCTTACATCACTTCAAATTTGCATTATTCAATAGTAAAATAAATACCCTTTAAGATAAAATAATTTTTATTTCAAACTCAGAAATAATCCAGCTAAACAGGATAAAATGATAAAATATTAACAGTATTAATTAAAGTAAAAAAATTCAGATATAACTCTTTGTACCATGCTCTTACCAATGTTGAAGAATGTAATAAATCACTTCTGAGAACTATTAACTAAATGATTTTCAGATACTTTCTATAACTATATTAGTATGCCATTATTGTTCTGAATGTTTTACTGTAAATTCAGAAATTATTGTTAGATTTTTATTAATGTGAATAATGTGACTCGGTTAGTATCGCTATAATAAGAACTCGCATTCTGATATATTATACATATTTGTATTTATATTTTCCTGAAATCGCAATCATTAATCTCACCTTTCTTTCCATTTTTCAGTAATCGAAATAAAAAAAGCACTACATAATTTTTGAATTTACAGTATTATATGTTATTCACATTTTATTTAAAGAGGCAGACTTACATTTAAACCAAAGAGATACACAATAAAAATTAAAAATTTTTAAAATGCAAAATAGAAATAGCTTTCACCACTGTTAAAACTTCAATAACAATTACTTGAGAGATTTTTATGACAGGAATCAACATACTGAAGTAAGTTGACTGAATTATAACTTCAATTAAGTTTTATTTAATCAAAAAGAAATAGTGCAATACATCATTACTTGAAATGAGGGTTAAAGGACAGGAAGAGTTATGTCCCTGTCAGATTTAAACTTGTTTTAAGAGAATAGTTATATTCAAAATCTTAATGTGTCATAGACTTTAATTAACAAACAAAGTTCAGTTTCAGTGTATTTACAGGTATAATTAAGCTTTTAATAAATAATTTTGTGTAGTTGTAGATTGAAATTAAAGAACTCTTTGACCAAATGTGGTAAAATTTAGAATTACATTGTAGTTCTATATTTGGTTTGGTTTACTAGTGAGACAGGAAAATGATGCCACCTTTCTTTTTGTAAAATTAATGATCTGATATTAAAATAATTTAAAAAATACTATGTGAATGTTTCAGGAAGCCTTTTCTTCATGATGGTATAACTGTTGTTCAAGGTCTTATCAGAGAATTATCTCAGCTCAAGTTAGTATAGATATAAATGTTTGTTTGAGGTTTGATGCATTTATAGGTCAAAGAAAGCATAGTCTTTTCTAAAATATCTCACAGTAAACTGTTTTAGAAAAATATGAAATGTGAACACATCATGATTTTTGTTTGACAGTATCCTCTTGTGCACTGGTTATCTTAATTTTACACATTGTCACATTATTATAACTGCTAATACTGAAAGTTGATGTTATCCCATAAGGGGTCTTTAGGTTTGCACTCTGTCCCTCCCTCTGTCAGTCTGGCAAATCAGTTTTCCACACTTCTTCACTTCCTGCTTAAAGATATTGATTTGATAATTTGGTATATAGTTTTACCATGACAAGTTACAGATCAAGTTCTAATTTTGTTTGGTCTGGATGATTTTTTTGAAGAGTTACAAATGTATGGTCCTCTGACTTAAAAAAATCATGCAAATAATCAGTTTTCTATACTTTTTTTGTTATGCTTTTTAGAACAATAGAAATCACACTGTCGATCTGTTTATTAATCTTGTTGATACAACTACTTTAGTGAAACTATATTCACAAGAAAAACTTTTCATATATTTTTGTATAAACAGATTTAGTACTCAATATTTGCACCAGGAGATAATTGGACCTAATATAGAAAATTTTACAAATTACCAATTTAGTAAGCATTTTGTTCCAATACAATGAATTTTTGACCGGTAGGGGACTATGTATTGCCATGCAACACTCTCAGAATGCTTGTTTCATTATTAACAGACGAATTGTGATACTAGACAAGTAGCAACAATAATGATACTGTTCAGGATTTTATTAGTCCACTACCTGCAAAGCCGAAGATGATTTAGGTTTGCATTCCGTCCGTCTGTCTGTCCATCGTCAGTGCGGTAAATCAGTTTTCCACACTATTTTTCTTTGTGCTTGAAGATATTGATTTGATATTTGGTATACAGTTTTATTGTGACCAGTTACAGATCATATTTGAATTTTGTAGCTGTCTGATGATTTTGTGCAGAGTTATGGTCCTTGGACTTAATAAATTCATGCAAGTAATCAGTTTTCCACACATTTTTTCGTCATGCTTGAAGATATTGATTTGATAATAGTTATATTGTTTTGTCATGACCAGTTACAGATCAAGTTGACTTTTGTTCTGGTATGATGATGTTGTACAGAGTAATGGTCCTTGGAGTTAGAAAAAACACACAAGTAATCAGTTTTCAGCACTTTTTTCTGTCATTTTGTTCCAGTACAATAAATTTTAGGGGACTATGTATTGCCATGCAATACTCTCTAAATGCTTGTTTTAACCAATAATCATCTAATAAATACTTTTATCATTTACTTAGAGTAGATAACTTATAATTTTTTACAGTATGATAAAAGCATTAAATTTGTGTAAATTTCATATTTGCTGAAATGGTTCCTAGCTTTGATATGAAAAAAATTAACGACTTCTGGTCATTTTTGCAAGTCTGTTTATAACAATATTGTATGGCAACTCTTTGTCACTTACCAAATTCCTGAAAATGTATGTTTAGGATTTAATGAAAAAAAAGGAACACTAGGATGGGACAAATATTAGGAAATAGTAAATAATATATTTTGAAAAATGTGAAACAAATAATACAATATATGTATTGTTTTTCAATTCTTAAGGCACTGATATGCTTTATGAAAGTGCTGCAAATCAAACTATTTCTGCAATTTGTCTAAAATGTTTTAATACAGTTTAGATCCCCTTGTCTATCACTTAAGAGTCCTTTGTCATCGTCTGTTAAATTTTATCAAATCTTCTTCTCTGTAACTACTTAGCCAAATTAAACTTAACTTTGCAACAATCATCATTAAGGTATCCAGGATAAAAATGAGTCCGACCACTCCGCCTGCCAACCAACATGGCTTACATGGCTAAAAATAGAACATGGGGATAAAATGCAAGTTTTGTCTATTATCATGAAAACCGCTATGAATAGAGAAAAATGACACAGGAGGCAAAAATGTCCAGAATGATGAGATCTATTGTCTGAGTACACAAAAACTGTCAAACAACTTCTTACAGGAGTTATAGCCCATAAATAAGGAATTTTACCAATTTTTTTAAAGATTTTACCTATTATCTGGAAAACTAGAGAAGATAGAAAGAAACTTTGAATAGCACAAATGATCAACACGACAAGATCTATTATTAAGTTGAAATGGTAATTCGACTCTTGATAGTAGTGATTGCCCTTAAATAATGATTGTTTTTCCCTTTTCTATGATTTTGGCAAAAACAAAAGAAGATAGAAACTGTAAACAGAAAAAATTATCAGCAATACTTTGGTCAGGTTGTTGTCTCTTTGATATATCCCCCATTTTCATTCTCAATTTTAAGATCAACAAAAAAGAGATTTTTGTCATGAATTCTATTCTAGTCAAGAATGTTGGAGTGTGTCCATTGTTGAAAATGCACATAGAACTAGGTAAGCGACACAGGCTCTTAAGCTCCTCTAGTTTGTCAGTACAATAACACCAGTGAGGGACCAAATATTAATTATGCAATGACAACTGAACTTCAGTTATCAGAAAGGAAAAAAGGTTGAAAATATACTTATTAAAAGTGTCTGTGTATATTTAAAAATTTTAAATGAATACAATGTACTTTAACAAAATTTCAGCACAATGATACTTAGGACCAAAAGAGAGTTAGAGACAACCAGGCGACAGTTACTTCAAGGCCAGGCAACAACAAGGATTGGTCAAGTACAACATCAAGGCCAGACATCAGAACATACAACTATTAGGAATAGAAATCAGCCTCTCAGGACATTTAATAGACATTGATCTGCATTAGGAGAGACCAAATACCGGTATATCCATAAAGGAAATAAAGATTTTTGTGAAATTGGTCCTTTTTAAAATAGATTGAAAAACATCTTCTCTTTTTAAAATACCAAAAAAACTGGCAGGAATATTAGAGCCTCCTATGTGATAATGTGCAGTTATGAAGTACTTATAATAGACCATTGATATTTGATACATATTGAGCAATAGCATTAATTCATGTAAATTTCAAGCAATATATTATGCCTAACCTTTTCAATTCTCTTCAGTGAACATTGAATCTTTGTAAAAGATTTCCAATGTTTCTGTTTACTTTATGTTTTTATGATGATTAGTTTATGACAGACTTTTGATACACTAATGGTATATCATTGTATAAAAATCTCAGTATCTTATTTTGAAGAAGATTGTAGGGCCTACCTCAATTGAGTCGCATTTCACTTAATTTGACGTTTTATATATTTTAGTGTTGAGTTCCTTGTTAGATGTAGTAAAAAGTGATATGGCAGTGCAAAGTAGGAAAGACGAATGTCTTAATATTTTTGTTGTTGCAATAGAACAGAAAATTTGTTATATCAAAATTTTGTAAAGTACCCCAAAAAATGAAACATAATATATTTACAACAATGTGATTTAGTATGCTACTGTTAATGATTCTTATTCATAATGCTTGGAAATGTACCACTGTAGAAAATATTTAAGAAACAGGGTGAGATCTTTTTACTTCAAACACTGGCATAAAAGAGTGCACAATTTATTTTGTGAAAAATTGCTAAGATCTGCCTCAATCAGATAAAAAAAATTCTAGGTAAAGGCTTACCCAAGCAGCCAAGCTTTGTGTTGACGGACTTCTGGTTAAAAGTTATTCCTTTATTTTACAAGTTTACATTGGTTGTTTTGTGACTGTTATGTTATGGTTTACTTTTATGTTAAATTGTTGTTTTCTTGACACTTGTTATTTTATTATTTTCATCCAATAAAATTTATAGCTATATAGTTTTCAACACTTCAGTCAATAATAATACAATTGAAGACCTGTTTCTGGATAACCCTTAATTAAACATTGGTGATATATAATGTATACTGCTTAACATATTATACTATTATACAAGAGGTACCTGGTTATATACGAAACTGGAGAAGCATTTGGTTATAACTTATAGCATTTACTAGGTGTGTGGCGACTACTGTAGGAATAGTGCCACTGTGTGCACAGAAAAAAGCCTGTGCAACAACCTCTTATGAGTCAATAGATAGCATTAGTCCAAATATATCTGTATCAATCATGGAGGCATGATACAGTTGGACAGCTTAATTTTTGTCTTGCCTTGACAAGAGTCAAAAAGCGAGACTTGGGTATGCTGTTTCCAACGGGGGCTGCGGCGGCGTCAACAATGTATTAGTTTGTGATAAGGTCAGTTTATAGGGAACCACTAGTGGTAGGTCAATGATATTTGGTATGCAGATGCATAAGCATTGGCACATCTCATTTCCATGATGATCATTTGGCTCCAACCCATCAGTCATGGTCTATTGACTTTGAATATTTTACAAGTTAAAAGTTTTTGATTGGATCTGTTTAAGTGGAACCACTATTGTTAAGTCTATGATAGTATTAGCATTTGCAAGTCTTCTTTCCATGGATATTATTTGGCCCCATCCCCTGTCAAGGTTCACTGAACCTTGTTTACAAGTAAAAGTTTGTGTTTAGGTTACCGGTAGTGTTTAGGGATAGTGATAAGTCAATGGTATTTGGTATACGGTTTTATAAGCATTGGCATTTCTCATTTCCATGGAGATTATTTGGTCCTGCACCTTAAGTCATAGTTCATTGACTTGAATGTTTTGCTAGTTAATATGTTTAAATATTGCCATTTGAATTCAATATTTGCATTATACTATCAAAATTACAAACAGGCGAGACATATCTCTGCGTCATCAGTTTATCTAGCATAGTAAAAATCTTTGTTTGAACAATCTCTAAGGGAACATGAGTAGTCCCAAATCAAGAGTCTGTAGTTCAGTGGTTGTAATTGTTTCATGTCTGTCATGTTAGTTTTTGGTAAATTGTTTTGTTATAAATTAGGCCGTTAGTTTTCTCGTTTGAATCGTTTCACATTTTTTCATGTCAGGGCCTTTTATAGACTACTATACTGTATGGGTTTCTCTCATTGTTGAAGACCATATGGTGACCTATAATTGCTTATTTCAACTTTGGTGGATAGTTGCCTCATTGGCAATCATACCACAACTCCTTTTTTAGCTCACCTGGCCCGAAGGGCCAAGTTAGCTTTTCTCATCACTTGGCGTCCGTCGTCCGTCGTCGTCGTTGTTAGCTTTTTACAAAAATCTTCTCCTCTGAAACCACTAGGCCAAATTTAATCAAACTTGGTCACAATCATCATTAGGGTATCTAGTTTAAAAAATGTGTTCGATGACCCCGTCAACCAACCAAGATGACCATAATGGCTAATAAAATGCTCCACAGGGCGCAGCTTGATACGACCGCAGAGGTCGAACCCTGAACAGTTGGGGCAAGTATGGACACAACATTCAAGCTTGATACAGCTCTGAATTTGGATTGTGATTAAATATTTGACACAGCATAGGTTTCTGACACAGAATGAATGTGGTCTAAGAACTTAAAAATTTTAAATTGGACATTCACCTATTATGGTCCAATATCCAAAATCTAAATACATGGTTAGATTCAGCATATCAAAGAACCCCAAGAATTCAATTTTTGATGAAATCAAACAAAGTTTAATTTTGGACCCTTTTGACCCCAATGTGGACAAAGTTGATAACGGGGCCCAAAAATCAAAAATCTAAGTACATGGTTAGATTCAGCATATCACTACTACACAATACTGTGCAATTGAATATTTCTTGCTATTGCGCAATACTGTACAATTGACAATTTCTTGCTATTGCGCAATATTGTGCTATTGGATATTTCTTGCTATTGCGCAATACTGTGCAATTGAAGATTTCTTGCTATTGCGCAATACTGTGCAATTGAAGATATCTTGCTATTGTGCAATACTGTGCAATTGAAAATTTCTTGCTATTGCACAATACTTATTATATAATAATTTACACATCCTGTTTGGTGTGTATCTCCTACCATATCACTATTATTTGCTTTTAAATATAAATCAGAAATAACCAACTTAAAATGGAAAATTTTAAAAGAAAAAAAAAAAGGAAAAAAAGAAAAACAAAGAAAAAAAAAAAATCCCCCCCCAAATTTTTGGAACCCCCTTATTATTCATCAACCCCAAACTCAATCCTAGCCTTCCCTTTGAGGTATGGTACCTTGCAGTACAATTTCAGAGAGATCCATACACTTGAACACAAGTTATTGTCTGGAAACTAGAAAAATGCTTATTTTTGGCCCCTTTTTGGCCCCCAATTCCTAAACGTTTCGGGCAATTACCCCCAAACTCAATTCCAGCTTTCCCTTTGTGATATGGAACCTTGTAGTACAATTTCAGAAATATCCAAACACTTACACACAAGTTATTGTCATGAAACTAGAAAAATGCTTGTTTTTTGCCCCTTTTTTGGCCCCTAATTCCTAAAATTTTGAGGCAATTACCCCCAAAATCAATTACAGCCTTCCCTTTGTGATATGGAACCTTGTGGTACAATGTCAGAGAGATCAATACACTTACACACAAGTTATTGTCTGGAAGTTACAAAAATGCTTATTTTTGGCCCCTTTTTGGCCCCTAATTCCTTAACTGTTGGTACCATAACCCCCAAAATCAATCCCAACCTTCCTTTCGTGGTATTGAACCTTATGGTAAAATTTCATGGAGATCCATTCACTTAAACTAAAGTTAGAGTGCGAAAACCAATGTGTCTTCGGACGACGCCAGACGACGCAAGACGACGACGACGACGCCAACGTCATACCAATATACGACCAAAAAATTTTTAATTTTTGCGGTCGTATAAAAAACGAACATAGGGGTAAAATGTAGATTTTGGCTTATATCTCTGAAACCAAAGCATTTAGAGTAAATCTGACATGAATAAAACTGATTATCAGGTCAAGATCTATCTGCCCTGAAATTTTCAGACAAATCTGACAACCTGTTGTTGGGTTGCTGCCCCTGAATTGGTAATTTTAAGGAAATTTTGCAGCTTTTGGTTATTATCTTGAATATTATTATAGATAGAGATAAACTGGAACCAGCAATAATGTTCAGCAAAGTAAGATCTACAAATAAGTTGTCATGACCAAAATGGTCAGTCGACCTCTTTAGGAGTTATTGCCCTTTATAGTCAATTTTTAACAATTTTTCGTTAATTTTTGTAATCTTTTACAAAAATCTTCTTCTCTTAAACTACTGAGACAAATTTAACCATACTTGGCCATAATCATTATTAGGGAATCTAGTTTAAAAAATTTGTCTGATGACCCCGCCTTCCAACCATCATGGCCGACATGGTTAAAAATAGAACATAGGGGTAAAATGCAGTTTTTGGTTTATATCTCTGAAACTACAGCATTTAGAGCAATCTGACAAGTGGCAAAAATGTTTATCAGATTTAGATGCCCTGAAATTTTCAGACAAATCCGACAACCCGTTGTTGGGTTGCTGCCCCTGAGTTTAGTAATTTTACAGAAATTTTGCAGTTTTTTGTTATTATCTTAGATATCATTATAATATCTAATATTATTAATTATGATTTTAACCTTATTTTACATGATTTCCAAAGTATCAGTAAATACAGGTGAGCGACACAGGCTCTTGAGAGCCTCTAGTTTGAATATTTAATAAAATGCTTCGCTGAGTGCAGCCTGATACGACCGCAGAGGTCAAACCCTGAACAGTTGGTACAAATTTGGACACAATATTCAAGCTTGATACTGTCTGAATTTGGATTGTGATCAAATTTTTGACATAATATAGATTTCTGACACAAAATAAATGTGGTCAAAGATCTTACAAATCTATTGCGCAATACTGTGCAATTGAAGATTTCTTCTTGAAACTTTTCAAAAATTCAAAATTTTTCAATTTTGAAAAAAAAATATGAATCCTCTAAAAAAATTTGAAAAAAAAATCCCCCCCCCCCCCCCCCCCCCAACTTTTTGAAACCCCCCTTGGAGCAATAACCCCAAAACTCGATCCAAACCTTTCCTTTGTAGTATGGAACCTTGTAGTACAATTTCAGAGAGATCCATACACTCAAACACAAGTTATTGTCTGGATACTAGAAAAATGCTTGTTTTTGGCCCTTTTTTGGCCCCTAATTCCTACATATTTGGGCAATTAACCCCAAACTCAATCCTAGCCTTCCCTTTGTGATATGGAACCTTGTGGTACAATGTCAGAGAGATCCATACACTTACACACAAGTTATTGTCTGGAAACTGGAAAAATGCTTGTTTTTGGCCCCTTTTTGGCCCTTAATTCCTAAACTGTTGGCCCCATAACCCCTAAAATAAATCCCAACCTTCTACTTGTGGTATTAAATATTATCGTACAATTTCAGAGCAATTGAAATAACTATACACAAGTTATTATCCTGAAACTAGAAAAATGCTTCTTTTGGGCCCCTTTTGGGCCCCTAATTCCTAAACGATTGGGACCATCATCCCCAAAATCAATCTCAACCTACCTTTTGTGGTATTGAACCTTCATTAAAAATTTCATAGAGATCCGTTCACTTAAAATAAAGTTATTGTCCGGAAACCAATGTGTCTTCGGACGACGACATCATACCATTATAAGATCCCAAAAAAAATTTTGTGGTCGTATAAAAAGCTGATTCCTCCTACAACCTCATTTGTTTGCCATCAGACATCTAGATATTGGTAGTGATGATATGCCTATGGATCACTTTCTGTCATCCACTTAACACTGAATTTTAACCCACAACTGCATGAAAATGTCTTGACATACTGAACATCAAAACCTACACAGATTTTTCTACATGACATGTAATTGTGCACCTACGACGTATTATGGTATACCAATGTACGTCCATTTTGTTGACCTCATTTTCATGGTTCAGTGACTGCTTGAAAAAAAAATAGTTTTTTGTCAAGTGCTCACTTATTATGAGTAATAGGATAACTACATTTGGTATATGGGGTTCCTTGCAACGTCGACATGTCCGTCTATCATGTTTCATATGACCTTGACCTCATTTCATGGTTCATTGAACAGTGTTTAGTTTTTGTGGTTGGTATATTTCTGATATTTTCAGCAATAGGTCAATTATATTTGGTGTATGAACTATGAAACAATTTTAAGGTGTACATGTCTGTCTGGCAGGGTTCATATGACCTTGACCTTATTTTGATGGTTTGTTGTTCCAGGAATAGGACTTTAATTGTCAGATTTTAGTAAATTTTTCACATATTGTACCATAACTTGAGTTTGCTTCAGTAGAAACTTTACATAATTGTTGGATTTGGTGAACATATGATTAAATGCCTTTGAAATATCCCATTTTATTCTTACAACAATTTCAATATGTATAATAAGGGTGTATCATGCTTTCTTGGCACAGCTGTTTATCAATGTTTCCTATACTAAAACATTTACTATGCCATTTCTGCTTGTATCAGTTTGTTAAACTCAACTCATTGAAAACAACTAGTCGTTAACTTTTATGTCCATTGGTCTCTGGTGGAGAGTTGTCTCATTGGTAATTATACCACATCTTATTTTTATAAGGCAGTATTGAACAAAACTTTCACAGATTATACAGAACAAACTTCTGCTGATTTTCAATAGTGTATGACCTTATATCCCTGTCATTTTAATTTTTGATCTGAGTGATTTTTAGTGTTTCCAATAACGAACCATGAACTTAAGCATTACTGCTGATATTATTTGGAGAAGACCGGTGACACACCACACATCTTCTTTCAATGCACATTTTCATAAGAAACTGGCAAATACTAATAATTTCTATGAATACTGGTATCAAGTAATTTATTTATTTTTCCAATGTTCTCAGAGAGCTTATAAAAGTGCCCAGCACTATCTTGTAGCTCGTACTTTGTTATAGGATTCATCTTGTATGTATCATATCCAGCATGATTTCCTTTCCCTTCACAATGTCATCATGTACCACATTAATTATTCCATCAACTCATCAGATCAAAGTCATCTCTCTACAAATATAAAGATTGATAATTATATATACTATAATAATTTTTCAACTAAAATGTGTCGAAGTTTGGAATGATTGCAGTATGAGCTCTGAAAGATTATAAAATAATTGTGAATAACAGTATCAGACTAGTTGATTCAGTATAATGAGATAATGCTAACCAATTAATTTCTTAAAAGCAATTTATTTTGGGGACTTTCACAAGTAATAAAAATAACCAGAAACTCATAAAAATAGTCCATTGGAAAAAGCTAAATGTAGGAAAAAAGTATCCACAAAATAAGCTGGTTAACAGTACCAGTGTTATTTGAGCTGTAAGGAACAATTAAGCATAGTTTATAGAGATTGATAAGAATTGTAATCAAAGTGATGGAAATCACTCATGGAAAGATTGGAAGAATAGTTTGAATAATTTCAAATAATATTTAGGTATGGTGTGGACAAAAAAGAACATTAATACATTGATTTTGAAAACAATTATCATGATTGTATGACATTGAAGATTAAAAGTTGTAGAATATATTTTAATTAAATTTACAATTTAATTTCTTCCAGAAAAGAGCATTGAAAATATACTGGTCCGGGTACACAGTTATCGTCCTTTGATTTTCGTTGTCCACGAATATAGTCCCTAGTGTGGACAGTGTGTTACTTGTCGATTTTTTTTATACCCCTTCCAAATTTATTTCTCCATGTTTTATGACTCAAATAGTAAGTAGGGGGGTGAAATGACACTGTAAAAAAAATTGGGTCATGAATTTTAAAGTAAAGTAGTGATTTGGTCCAGCTGAAAAATGTTAAAAATTAGCACTTCGGAAGCTGTCAAAAGATTTGAAGACCCCCTTAACATGAAATTGTCCATATTTTGAGTTAGAGCCGATGAAGTTTTCTATAATTTTGATATAATTTGTCCCAAAAGTAGTACAACACACTCTAAAAATATTATTGAGAAAGCGCAGGTGGGTTTATTTTAATTTTCATTTATTGTCTAAAAGAAATGCACTACGAAATAACTGTGTACTCGGACCTACTGTTTCAACATAAACATATTAAAAAACTTTAATCTTATTGAAATTGGGATTCATTCTTAATTACAAAAATACACTTCTTGTATTCAAATGACTAATATTGTTAACAGACATTTGATGTGAAATAAACTTTAAAAAAAATATTGGTTTTCTCAGGTTAAGATCTTAAAAATTTTACTGACTGTTCCAAGCCAATCACTGATAAGTGTACTAACCTAAATTATTTTTTAATTACAGATGATTATTGCACAGATTTATCAAGTAAAAAATAGGCCTTACTTGAACACCTTTTTTATATTTAGATGTCATAATTTGTCTTTTCTTTGAAAGAAAAAATCTTGTTAATCCTTAATTAATCATTTATCTTTCAGACATAATTTACCGAATCACTTTATGTAGTGTAGATCAAAAGTAATAGGCAATGAATAAATCTATCATTTCTATATACCAAACATCTAATATATACATTTGTGTATTCAATTATGATGTATAAAAGTATTTGTGTATTGAGATGTATAATGAAGGGTCTGTTTAATTATGTACTGGGGTAAGACTGAGGTTGATTATTGATGTTATCAATATGATTGGCATTGTAATTAAGCCCCACATTATCTCTGATTGTTTGGTGATCATGACAGTTGTCAATCATACTGCCATGATACTGGTATTGTATCATTACTCTTACCCAATCAAAATGACAAAAATAGCCTGCACATTGACAAACCTTAAAGACATACATACTTGAATGAACTGCTCCAAAAATATAACCACATCAAATTTTTCACAGATCATATGTGCATATGTACACAGACATGATAATTATAGGGAACTATATTTCAGTGTGTATACATTTCGTAGATTTAGTAGTTAACCTGTACATCTACTTGTTAGGGAGGCCGGTGCCTTAGGAAAGACTTGGAACAATAGTTCCAATCTTTCCAAAAACAACTAACTTTTAAGGGCCACTGTAACATTTCACTTACTGATGAAGTCTGTGTTTAAAGGGAGATAAATCAATCACAAACTGACCAAGAGAAAATTCAAATTGGAAGTTTAAAGACTAAAGTAAATAATAACTGTTTGGGAATGTGCACATTGAATAAATAACTCCTTTCCCCCATGGGAAACAGATTTTGAGCCAGTGAACATAAATGGCAAAAAAATGTAGAATTAAGCCATTTATTCATTATTTTTCAATTTCAGCACAGCCTTCATTGAACAAAAAATTGTAAAATGGGCATTACATTTCACAATAAATCTGATATTGCTGTTAGTGTTTGAAGACAAATTTTACTAAAATATTTAAAATCTGTTTTATCAAATAAAATTTTGGATAAAATAAAAATCTGCATTTGAAATGGAAGAAATGCCATAAATCTTACCAGTTCATTATATTCTAAAACTTGTTTTCTGATTGCTGAGGTGTCTGTCCAGGTTATAAAATCTTCCATGTTTCTGTAATATAAAATGAATAAAACAGTCATGTGAGAATGAATTATAGGTAAAAACAAGAATGTGTCCATAGTACACAGATGCCCCACTCGCACTATCATTTTCTATGTTCAGTGGACCGTGAAATTTGGGGTCAAAACTCTAATTTGGCATTAAAATTAGAAAGATCATATCATAGGGAACATGTGTACTAAGTTTGAAGTTGATTGGACTTCAACTTCATCAAAAACTACCTTGACCAAAAACTTTTAACCTGAAGCGGGACAGACGGACGAACGGAAGCACAGACCGATAAACATAATGCCCCTAGGTGGGGCATAAAAAGATACCAGCAAACACTATTATGCCTATAACTACTGTTAAAGTATTATTGTTCATGAGATACCAATTTTTCAGGAATTTGTCGTTCCCTCCAACCTAGAAATTTTGTACAAAATGAAATAATATTTAAAATTGGGGCTTAGGTCATAACAAATTATCAATATCATAACCATTCTGACCAAATTCAAGACACAATTCTGGAATAGTTACAGTTGCTGCTACAATGAAAAAAGAAATTGAACTGAATTAATGTAGGCAGAAATTGTGCAATGATATTCCAAAGCAAGTATAATAAAGTCTTTGCCTCAAAGCCATTTATTTAATAAGTTATTTTCCAAAGCAAACAATTAATCATCCAGAAATGCTCTTCTCCCAATTTTTCAGGAGGAGGGGTTGTAAAAATGATATAAATACTAATTATCCATGAAATATGCAGGGTTAATATATCATTTACCTTGTGACAAGATATGCTGGATCTGTAACAACTTCTGGTCCAACTCTAACATCTGAATTTCATGTCAAGGTAGATCAAGTAAAAAATTTCCACCAATTTAAACAAGAGTGCACACGCTGAAATGTCTCGCCTTCTTTACTAATCATTGATATTATGTTGATAGTCCTAAATATAAAGCTTTATTACAACTGTCACATAAACTTAACATTAACCAAGTAAACTAAACATTGACCAATGAACCATGAAAATGAGGTCAAGGTCAGATGAACCATGCTAGGCAGGCATGTACAGCTAACAATTCTTCCATACAACAAATATAGTTGACCTATTGCTTATAGTTTAAGAAAAACAGACCAAAACACAAAAACTTAACACTGAGCAATGAACCATGAAAATGAGGTCATGGTCAGATGACACCTGCCCGCTAGACATGTACACCTTACAATCATCCATACACCAAATATAGTAGACCTATGGCATACAGTATAAGAAAAACAGACCAAAACACAAAAACTTAACTATAACCACTGAACCATGAAAATGAGGTCAAGGTCAGATGACACCTGCCAGTTGGACATGTACACCTTACAGTCCTTCCATACAGCGAATATACAAGACCTATTGCTTATAGTATCTGAGATATGGACTTGACCACCAAAACTTAACCTTGTTCACTGATCCATAAAATGAGGTCGAGGTCAAGTGAAAACTGTCTGACGGGCATGAGGACCTTGCAAGGTACGCACATACCAAATATAGTTGAACTATTGCATATAGTATTAGAAAAAAAGACCAAAACTCAAAAACTTAACTTTGACCACTGAACCATGAAAATGAGGTCAAGGTCAGATGACACTTGCCCGCTAGACATGTACACCTTACAATCATTCCATACACCAAATAAAGTAGACCTATGGCATACAGTATAAGAAAAACAGACCAAAACACAAAAACTTAACTATAACCACTGAACCATGAAAATGAGGTCAAGGTCAGATGACACCTGCCAGTTGGACATGTACACCTTACAGTCCTTCCATACACCGAATATACAAGACCTATTGCTTATAGTGTCTGAGATATGGACTTGACCACCAAAACTTAACCTTGTTCACTGATCCATGAAATGAGGTTGAGGTCAAGTGAAAACTGTCTGACGGGCATGAGGACCTTGCAAGGTACGCACATACCAAATATAGTTATCCTATTACTTATAATAAGAGAGAATCTAACATTACAAAAAATCTGAACTTTTTTTTCAAGTAGTTACTGAACCATGAAAATGAGGTCAAGGACATTGGACATGTAACTGACGGAAACTTCGTAACATGAGGCATCCATATACAAAGTATGAAGCATCCAGACCTTCCACCTTCTAAAATATAAAGCTTTTAAGAAGTTAGCTAACGCCGCGCCGGATCACTATCCCTATGTCGAGCTTTCTGCGACAAAAGTCGCAGGCTCGACAATAAAATCAACAAACAGACAAAATAAAAAATTCAAATGAGCAACTTGACAGGTGCCTCATGTGGAGCAGTATCTGCTTATCCTTTTGAAGTACCAGAGATTTCCCCAGCTATTGGTGGAGTTTGTGTTGCTCAGTCATTAGTTTTCTATGTAGTGTTTTGTTTTGTCCTTTTGTCGTATTTTGGCCACAGTATTGTCAGTTTTCTTTGACCTATGATTTTTTATTGTCCTTTTGGTGGCTTCTACTTTTTCAGTATACCTTCACAACTATCACAGATTTAACGAAAAGGTATAATTTTGGCATTTAAAGATTGTCTGTGAAATCTAATGAAATTTCTATTTAAATTAAACTTTACTCAAAGGCAGTGGAAATATGTATAAATAATATTACTGCAATATTGTTTTTGTACTGATAGAACAGGTCATTATTCTTAAAAAGGAAAAACATGTAACCTTATTTTCAGAAAATAACTTGAAGCATTAAAGTGAAATATGTTTTGAAATAAAACAGTTGACACAGACATCCACCTCACCTGCTTTGCTGCACAATACTTTGATAAACTACCATATTTATATATTTACATTTACATAGAGTTTTCATGATATGATTTCATTAAATCTAACTTTATGCAACTTTAAATGTTGTCTAGTAACTAAAGTTCTGTCGATTTTACACATAACTCCTGATAAAAAAAGATACGTCCTTGTTCTATGAATGTTGTTGCAGTCTTCAAGTTTTCTGACATGTGATTTCTAACCATAACAACAGGAAGACGTCGCCTGAAAAAATACAATGGTTTATCTTTAATTTACATCTTCATTTTATCATTTAACTGCATAAAATATAAATGTACTCAATGATCAGTATAAAATGTAATTATTACATTGGTTGCAATGAAATACTGTGATTTCACAGTTCAATAAAAACTAATAATTTCACATATGAAATAAATCCGATAATTTCACTCCTCTGATGTCATAGAACGATGGTTGTTGTCAAGACATTGTTGATCATGTTGCATCAAAATGAATTGAGAATGCGTAGAAAAATATAGTTCCTCATACTTTTTACTTTATTCCCATGGTCAATGAAAGAAGAAGAATAACTAATCCAAGAATTGAAATATTGAAAAATATTCAACTTGTGAACAAACAACACTGATAATTAACTAATGTGCTACGCACATTCATGAATGAAAGTGTTGTCCTGTCACCCATTAAATATATTTCTATATTTGAATTATTCGATTAGTTATTCAATAATTATTCACTAAACTTGACTTTTATTAATCTATATTTCTGTTTCTAACTTATTTTCTACTTTCAAATTCTCTCTCTCTCTCAACTGTTAAATACCACTTTTTATGAAATTCCTCCAGTTTTCACATTAGTCTCTTCATATGTGATAAAATTTTAAATAAGTATGATTTTTTAAAATTTATGATATCATTCTAAATGATTTTTTTTAATAGTTATGAACATCATAAATTACTGAGAAAAAGCCCAATATGTTATGCTTTTCTTTTTTTGAACACTTCTGGTTCTACATCTTGCTGGAATTTTGTATGCTCAATATTATAGTTTACTTAAACTGTTTACGATATATTTAAATCAAATCTGTTCAGAAATATACTGATTGATATCTTCCTGCAGTAACAAGCACAATTGACCCTGCTTTCAAAATAGTGTGTCATCTTTTTTTATTATCCTGTGCATTGTTTTTTAAGGTTTTTTTCGGAGTATACCATTGTCCCAAGTAGGTAAGGTAGATTAACATGGTCCACCACATTCTAAATGTGTCTGTCAAAAGCCAGGAGCTTGTGTGGTCCAGTGGTTTCTGTTGTCTTTCAAATGAATGAGTTTTTCCTTTCACATCAATAACCAATATATCATACTGCTTGAGTTTTTTTACATTTGGTTTCTGTAAATTTAGAAATTATTGTGTGCATTCATTTTTGCAAATAAAACAAATTTTCTTACAAACAATCTCTTATTGTTCTTGGTCCTTGAAAAATATGTTCAAGCAAATTTTGTAGCATGATTTCCCTGAGTAATTTTACTAACCTACAGAATGATGTTGCAGTGACATCATCAGCTAGTGACAGACTTCTCTTTGTTGGAGTCAATCCCATACAGTGTCTGAAAGAAAAAACCCAGCTGGTTGAATATACCCAAAAAAAATATATTAAAAGTTAAATTTTTGTTGTTGAAACTAATGCCATGCAGATTCTGAAAAATATAAATGATTTTAAGTCATATGATACTTCAAAAGTCCCATAAATTGGGAATGACAAAGTAGAACATGTTCAATATCAAAATTTAATATGAGTCTACATTAACTCCTCCCAACAACAGCGTTAAGTTTGTATTAATTTGATCAACTTTTTTAATGCCTTTTATTTATCTGGCAGTCAAAGTCCAATTACTCTGGAATGGCAATGGAACTTTTCAAAATAAAACAGTGTTTTATATTCACCAATTCCAATTGTGTAAAGTTTCCGATCAATAAATCCAAGCAAACTCAAGTTATGGTACAACATGTAAAAAATTTATTTTAATCTGACAATTAAAGTCCAGAGATTCGATCATCTGGAATGACAAACCAGAAAGTTAAAAAAAATCAAAAGGAGGGTTCCTATTATCAAACCCAACAATAATGTAAAGTTAAGAGGAAATCAATCCAGGTATACTGCAGTTAGTGAGCTATATGTAAAAAATTGCATTTATTCAAATGGTTAAAGTCCCATAACTCTGGAAAGACAAAGCCAAAACTTTTAAAAAGATTTCTTCCTTCAATCCTGATGTTGTGTGAAAATTACATGAAAATTGGTTCATCAAATTTGAGTTAAGTATGAAGTGTTGACAGACAGACAGACAGACATTAATATATTATCATACGTCTGCGACTGGTGTGTAAAAATTGTGCATAGAGAACATTGTTTAGCACAAAACTTTGTTTAGTATATATGCATACATTGGTTCAATAATTTCCAAAACATAACAATAACAAGAAACTTGATTCATATGACTTTAACATAAAACTTTAAAGTCCAGCTTCTCTTTGTCAGAATAAACCTTATACAATATTTGTTCAATAAAAGTGTCGCCACCAAATTTCTGGTGTGTAAAAATTGTGCATAGAGAACATTGTTTAGCACAAAACTTTGTTTAGTATATATGCATACATTGGTTCAATAATTTCCAAAACATAACAATAACAAGAAACTTGATTCATATGACTTTAACATAAAACTTTAAAGTCCAGCTTCTCTTTGTCAGAATAAACCTTACACAATATTTGTTCAATAAAAGTGTCGCCACCAAATTTCGTACTTAATCTGTATTATGTAGTAATAAGCATTGTGTATAAGTTTCATAACATTTGGTTGAGGCAAACTAAAGTTAGAAAACGGAAACAAAAAATTTGTACTTGATCCTAGTTTTGTGGTAATGAATATTGTGTATAGGTTTCATAATGTTTGGTTGGGGCAAACTTAAGTTACAGAATGGAAACTAAAAATTTTGCAATCTTTTGATTAAAAAGGGGCATAACTCAATAATGGTTAAAGTGACACTACCCAAATTCAACTTGATCTGTGTTTTATCAGTGGAAGTCAAAATTAAACATTGCATTGTATAAAGCATTGATTGTAGTTGATTCAACTATAATCATGGACAAAGGAAGATAACTCCAATTTTAAAAATAACTTGATATTTAGAAGAAAATAAAAATTTTGCAATTTTTCCATTTATAAAGGGGCATAACTCTAGAACAGTTAAAGTGATGCCACCAAATTTCAAACTTGATCTGTGTTTTGTGGTAATAAGCATTGTGTATAAGTTTCATAACATTTGGTTGAGGCAAACGTAAGTTAGAGAACGGAAACTAAAAATTTTGCAATTTTTCCATTTATAAAGGTTATATAATTTCATAAAAACCTGGCAAGAATTGAACACATGAAAGCGCTAAAGATGCAATTTTCGATATAATTAATATTTCCAAGGGCCATAACTCTTTTAAAAATAATGATGGGCACTGATTTTCGAACTTGTCCAAGACATTGCTAAGATAAACCTATGATATAAGTTTCATAAAAATCTGGCAAGAATTGTACAATGAGCGCTTATGATGCAATTTTCAATATAATGTTTCCAAGGGGCATAACTCTTTTAAAAATAAATGATTAGTACTAATTTTCGATGGATGGATGCACAGACGGACGCCCTTTATTTCTATGTCCCCTGCAACGCGTTGCACGGGGAAATAAAGTAGACACAAAGAATGTCTCACCTGTATAAATGATAATGACTGTAGAATAAACATGTAGCAAATCTGAAAGTACTGCATTCTGGTTATCATGAAAAACAAGAATAGGACACCATGCTTGGTTTGCACTAAACTTCTATGTTAAGTGAACCTTGAAATTCGGGTTAAACCCCTCATTTGGTGTAAATTCATATAGTTCACATCATAAGTGGTAAGTGGTTTTAGACAAAAAGATGAAAATATAAAAGTTTACAAAAACAGATCACATGGCCTTTTTTGCAAGATGAGCTAAAAATTCAAAGAGCAAAATGTTTAGTTTATTGTTAGAAAGGAATTTTTATGCTCCTTTTTATACACAAATAAGTTTTCATCTTAATTTCTTAATGCTTGACACTATTCTTAACTAACCCACACACTGAAATTAAGTTGTTTCCCTTTGAATAGCATGTTCAGAAAATACATCTTTAAAAAACATTTGAAATGCTTCACTGTATTTTGAGAAAAAAAAATTCATGAAGGCAGTAAACTTTCAAACTTTCACTTTTCTGTAACATTAATGGCTCTGTTAAAATGTCAAATGTGTTACTATGACATTACTGTCCTCAGTCCTTGTAATCAGATACATGTTTTACTCAATTACAGTTTGTACCATTCAACCAAACTGATCAGATGGTAAAATGTTTTATCTGGCAACTCCTACAGGAAGACAGCAGCAAGTCAGCAATATTAGAATTCCAACCTATCTTAAATCTGTCTCTCTCATTTCAACCTGATCAGCTGGTGTATGGATATAACTTTTATAATTGTCAAGCCAGATAAATGTTGGGGATTTATTAGGTAATTTTGCTTTATATCCCTATTGTTTTAGTTTTTTATATAATTTTTCTCAAAACCTCTTCTTACTTGACTTACAATAATAATCAGCTAGAATATATGGTTTTGAAATATGAAAGGAAAGATTAATTTTCAATTCTCTTTTGATAGACATGAGTATTCTTATATTCTTCCTTCTTACAGTGCAATAACAGGTTTTGGAATTTTTTTTTGTAAATGACAATTCGCTTTAAACAGAAATACAAATAGTTTATGGTAAACTTTAAAAGTTTTACCACAAACAGCAATTAATATCTGATAACAGCTGCTATTGTGATCAATTCAGTCATTCAATACAGACAGAGACCTGTAATACTAAGAGCTTTAAGTAGCTGTGTAGGAGATTAAACAACCCTAATTTAACAGAACAGTCAGAGACTGTGGCATGACCTTCTATAAATAAAATATCTTTTTCCACATGCATTGACACTTGCTGGAGTCTTTGATAGTAGATGGATAACTGTTTTTAACATTTGGTTTTAGAGATTGGCAAAATTTTTATTCGAACCCCTTACCTGTGCTAGTTCTTTCAACCAGGGGGGTTCAAATGGCAGTCTTTTCTAAAGAACATTAACCTCTGTATTGTGGACATTTTTATGACTCACAGAAACATAACAACAGTTTATTTTTTGTCAAGATAACTTGTATTACGACCAGAGTAAATATCTTTATCTCTACATCACATGTAAACAAACTCACACCCAGTCAATCAAATACATTGTTGATATGCAATGTATTTTCTACAAGATGCAAACAATGTGAGAGAGAATTCCTGGCACTGCATCTAAGTATGAAAAACTATTCAAAATACCAAAATGGTGAATAAACGTATCAATTGTGAAGGTTTAGTCATCAAAACAAGCAGCTAATTTAGACATCTCAACAAAGGGGAGAGAACTATTACATTACTACAGATCATTAGATAAACAATCAAGTTATTATCAATTTCATTGTTTGTTGATAACTTCCATATTAATAAATAGTGATGATCTATTCTACCTGATTATTATTATTATAAAGGAATCAGTAGGAGGAGAGACAACTTACTAATGAGTGTCAGTTCCAGAACTTTAAATAAGAGTGGGTCTCCAATGAAAATAAAGGTTAAGCCCAGCAGTTGTAAATAAGAAAAATGTACTGAAAAAAATCCATATTTTTTTGGTCATTAGGGACCCAGGCTCCCTGAGATCCACCTATGTTTTTTGTGAAGTGACCAATTCTTTATTTCATTTGGGTAATGAATATTTTGGTACATTTTATAAACATGTTCCATATGGTTATGCATTATAACAGTACCTCTTTTTTTTTACCTTCCAAAACCTTATTCATTGTTTGGCCCATCAATCTTTTGTTTTCATTGTGTTGAAAGCCTGAAGTACATGTATCTGTTCAGGCAAAACAAAAAAGTTTTTGACTAGCTTTTTCCAATTTTAACCTAAAATATAGCCTACCACAAGACTCCAGCTTTTTAGTCCCCTACCGACAAAGTCGAAGGGGACTTTAGGGTTGCACTCCGTCTGTCTGTCTGTCTGTCTGTCTGTCAGTCCGGCAAATCAGCTTTCCACACTTTTATTCTTCGTTCTTGAAGATATTTATTTGATATTTGGTATATAGTTTTATCATGACAAGTTATAGATCAAGTTTGAATTTTGTTCTGGTCTGATGATTTAGTCCAAGAAGGGGACTTTAGGTTTGCACTCCATCTGTCTGTCTGTCTGTCTGTCTGTCCGTCAGTCCGGCAAATCAGCTTTCCACACTTTTTTTCTTTGTTCTTGAAGATATTGATTTGATATTTGGTATATAGTTTTATCATGACAAGTTATAGATCAAGTTTGAATTTTGTTCTGGTCTGATGATTTAGTCCAGAGTTATGGACCATAACTCTGGACCATATCTAATGTTAGAGTACTATGTTAAACCATATTTCTGTACGAAGGGAGATAACTCATTTTTTAAAAGACATTCTTTGTTAAATTATTTGAAGAATTTTTTGGCAGGT